ATGTTCACACAGAAATATATTTCATGGTAATTGCTGTCTACATTACACAAAGGGGCACATGGTGTCTTTGCAAATAAATACCATTCAGTTATCCCAGGAGAGACACTAGCTGCAGCCTCTGGTCTAAAGGTTACAGAAGATGGCTTGTGCCTGGAAGTCGCTCGTTCAATCACCAGACCAGTAGAACAGATCTTGGACAATTAATCACCAACTACTCGAGAAGAACTGCTAAGTGGCCTTGGCAGTAAAATACTGTATTGTACTTTTATGTGTGACTAAGTGTAACTGAGCAAGTGCGTGTCATGGCATTCCAGGAAAAGAGGGCATTGTTCTCAGCAAGACTTGAATAAAGGTTAAAAAAAAAAAAAAGAAAAAAGAATTTGTTCATTGCTCTCTACATCCCTCAATTACTATTCCACTAGTCTCACTGCACAGGCTGGACCTAATTACACTACCCACTTTGTAAAGGTGCCCTCTTGCTCCATCTGTTCAATCCATGTGCGCACAGGCTCAAACATGCACACGCGCACACACCAGCAGCACTTCAGACAGACAGACAAAGGCAGGTCAAGGTACACTTTCCCATCTGGATATGCCTTTGTCTACAAGAACAGTTAAACATCTAAACCACCAATCAAATGTGGCGATAAGAGAGACACTGTAACTCACTGTGGCCAGATGACTGTGGACATGAATACAGAGAGCTGTACACCTGTCCAAGTCTTAGACACAGCTAATGCCCCGACCCAGGAGTGGCCTTTGACCTTCTGCCTGCACATCATTAAAACACAGGGTTTAAGCTGGCAATTTCTATGCATGTATGCATGAGCATGTACGCGTGAAAGTGGGAGACTGAACACTCTGTGTTGAGGAACAGAAGCTCTTTGGCAATAATCTGTCACTGTAATGAAAAACGCACAGGCCGTTTGTGACGTGTGGATGATGTATTATGACCAAATGCAGATAAATCAGCAACTTCTAAAGTTACACTTTTCAAACAATGACGTGCAGCATCAATTCAAATAGATCTTGGGAGGAGAGCGTCTCTGCTCTCTTTTTTTTTCGTCTTGGGCTCACTGAAATGATTTAATAACCCCTTCTTTTTCTGCTTATGTCATGTCTGGGGGAAAGCAGCAACGCAAGGGAGGAGATAAAGCAGAGACAAAACAAAGTCAAAAAGTAAAGAGTAGACTGAGGAACTTTGGAAGGATCGGAAGCATTCCCCCATAATTGACAATGATATGAACAGACAGAAATGTGAAAGAGGGATGATAAAGCACACACGCAATCTGCAGGATATAGTAGCCTGCAGTGGAATCCTTATATCAGAGTCTATAAGAGGCCCAATCAAAAAGGCAAGCATCTAACAGCCGATTCCACTAGAGTATCCCTGCCTCAGGAAGCTACGGTGACTGACTCTCACTTCTACTGTTTTACAAATGGCTCACATGTGAGCACATAAAACAGAGATAGGAGGAAACAAACTTCCTTTTTCTTTTATATCCTACTTTTTTGACTTTCATTTTAACCTCACACCCTCCCTAGTTTTGTCTTAATGATTTTCTGCAGCACAGCCTCTGAAAGACATCGTGGGTTGAGTCTCAAATTAAGCCTATTAGTCATCTCCTTCTACCATTCACACCTATACCCAAGCCACTTAAAGTCTGCACTGAATAGATGCATCCAACATTATATACAGAAACATAAATTCAGCAAAAAGGGTCATAAAGTTGACTCAGCAAATAAATAGCAGACAACATCTCCAATAAGTATAGGCGTGCTTTTAGGTTGTAAACGCTAATGCTTTTAAGAGGAAGTATGGAAGAATAACCATTTTGTAAAGGGCTTCACTGACTTTGTGAACTGACCTTGACATTTCTTCTTGTTCAGAGTTATATCGCACATGATCATTTTTAGGTTGGGTTTCACTAAAGACAGAAGCAACTGCTCCTAAAGACGGACATATTTACTTCTTCATGGATCCCGTTTCTCCCCGCACTCTTTATAATGGATCATTCCAGGAATGGCATTAAAGCACGCACATAAAGCACCTCTGGCTTGTGCCGTCTTACACACTTTTTGCTCTCTGTCAAACACAACGATAAAATAAAATAAATGTAGCCATGTGATTCCCCTTAACATGTACATGCACATGCCAGCTGGGGAGTCAGTGAGGCTGTGGTGAGGGCTCGCAAAAAAGGCTGAAATGACCAGACAGTGCCTGGGAGAGATGTTTTCAGAAGGACACAGTTAAAAAGTTATGGATGCTTTATAGATTCAATTTGCAGATTCAAGTCTCTTACACCTGTGTGGCTAACCACCATCGATCCATCATTCTGTGGAGCCCAATCCAATTTAGAGTGTTGAGGAGCCCCAGAGCCCCGCAGCCTTATCCTAACCCAGGCCACAGCCACCACAAAGCCTGCTTACCTTTATCCCCTGAAGTCTGTGGGTGTGTCTGCGTACTTTTATGTGTACGTGTGTGTGTGCTGAGGGAGACTGCAGACCAAGCTAAACACCTTAGCTGCTGGCTCATGTGAAAGTGTGCTGAGCCAATTTAGGGGTAGGGGAGGAGAGGAAGCTGAGAAAAATGCAAGGAACTCAGGCCAGGGCCCTAACTCAAACCAAAGAGTACAACAGGAGGAGAGCAGGAAAGAAGAGGAGGGAGACAGAAAAGAAGGGAGGGAACAATGTGCACCCCTTGATGTGCAGCAAACAGTAGGTTAGACTGCAAGGCATTAAATCCTATTTTATTTTGTGTGGCAATCCACACTCATCCACTATAGGCATAATAGAACTACTCCACAGTCTCATCAAAGTCTTGCGATGGGACGCGCAATCTATTGGCCATTAGATTTGTCTCTGCAGACGACAGACTGATTCACTTGAGTCTCCCTTGCTGCGAAGGCTTAATGACACCATGCATGTTCAGATTGACCATTCAAATCTCTCCTCTTCACCACTGATTACGGTATCTTCTGGTGCAGATGTTTCTGTTTTAATTCTCTTTGCTGCTCCACTGGACTGCAGCAACACCCTTGAGATAAATTATTAAAGGGTATTTAAAACTGTGGGAAAATTAGGTGGTAGGTTGGTGTGAAAGTGAAAGCATCTGTTTAAGTGCTTGTGCCGCAGACTAAACTTCATCACCTCCCAACTAAACTGAGAGCATCATGTGGGTTTCACTCATTCCAGAGACTAAACCCAGGGCAATTAAAGCCTGGATCTCCGTAGGAGAGAAGGACGGAAGGGAAATGGGAGAGAAAGAGGCTAGAGAAGTGGAGACTCCATACCAATAACAGGCAATTATGTTTGGGGAGGGCCATTGTCAGGCCATGAGAGTATAGAAGAAGACAGCGGGGATATGGGATGGTAGGGAAATGAGGAGGAGTGTTATTTAGGAGGCAGATGGCAGAGAGGGGGAAATTAAGATGAATGGGCACTGAGAGGGCTGAGCTGGTGCTGGGGCTGGGCAGAGAAAAGTAATTAGCTGTGTTTGCTCTGGGAGGCTGGCAGTGAGTATGATGCCTGCAGTGACAGGCTAAAGCCTTGAGCTTTATTAGTCAACAAGGCCGTGTCTGAAGCTGCCAGCAGGTGGCAGCCAGGCCAGCAACCTTCCGGGACCTTCTTACCTGTACAACTCACCATGAGGTCTTTTCACAACATGGACACTGAGCAGCAGCTCCTTCACGCACTGCAATTTCTTTTTACTCTAATCCCTTGTTATTACAACACAGCTCTAGCTTGTTCTCTCTTATACTTACTGACTCTCTCACACTCACACACTCTCCCTCTCAAACACACACACACACACACACACACACACACACACACACACACACACACAAACAGCATCAGAGTCCACATTTTTTTCCTACCACAATATTCCTTAGTTTCACCCTTACCAACTGGCTCTATATTTCTTCCTCACACCATTTCTCTCCATTTCTTATGTTACAGCCACCTCTATCTGTCTCTTTCCTCCCACCCTGTATATCTCCCTCCTCCTCGTCCCTTTCCAATCTAATTTCAGATAAGTCGTAGCAGAACAACAGAGCAAGGCCCTTTATCATTGCCATCAATGATGTGGGTGGATTGAGCGTGAATAATTTCATTCATGTGTGCCTGTACCCAGCCCACTGGGATTCCAATTACAAGTAATAAGAGGTAATAGGGTACAGTTTGATTTTTTTAAGTGGCTCAGTAATGATTGTAGAAAACCTTTGACAAGAGAAGAAAGCTGTTGTTTATCTTAGCAAAAGCTAAAAGTACAATATCTGTTCACAACCATGAATAATATAGGACAATTTAATTTGGTACAATTAGTATCCCATTCAATCTTCAGTCCCAGGGAGTTATATAGCTATACACACATACTCATGTCCTTTTAACATTAAATACACTTCTAAATGATAACAGTGAACACTTGAAGTGCTATAAGCTACAAGTGGCTTTCATCCAATTAGCAGAACAGTGTTTAGTCTATATAACTGATCTTGCTGCACATACCTCATCACGCTTAAAAAACCTCAAGGATATAGGTGAGAAATTGCAAAACAAAAATGTCTTGCATGCTTGATGTAAAAAGACATGACACTTCCTTTATGCAAGATTTTAAAAAATCCCAAAAGCATTCAACAGCATAGGGTTGCTGCAGTTGCTGAACTATTTAGAAACCTTATCAAACTCAGCTGCCAGAACAGCCCACACACTGCTTTCAAAGAATCTCAACCTTGCTTCTTGCAGTCTGCAAATCGCACTGCCTCAAACTGTTTTAACAATGGCCTTTCACACTTTCAGAAGGCACACACAAGGTCACAAAAAAGGCAAAGGGACAACTTAAAAGGCCATTGGACATACAAAAAAGCAGGGCATGTGAACTGTCAGGGGCAATTTGCATTACATGCGAGAGATGAAGACTGATTTCCAAAAACAGGTAGAAGATAGAGCTGAGCATGCTTGAGGCTTTAACTGTGTAGTTTTTTGGGGTTTTGTTTTACCATGGTTAACAGGCCTGAGAACCTGGCGAAAGGAGCTGGGGCTGATCGTCTGCTGCTGGTTATCTGGAAGGAGGGTAGTGGACAAATAATGGCAACACATACAGTACAAAGAGGAACCAAAAGGATCATGAGGAGACATTCAGACGCTGAAGAACGGTCGTGAAGTGAAGTTCATTAAAAAGAAATACAGTGGTTAAGGGCATAGCTGTCACTTGCCCTTGAAGTTAAATGGCCAATCAATTTCAAACAGGTTCAGAGCCCGTCTTGGATTCACAACATTTGTTTGCTCTTTCAATTTCTCAATTCCTGGTGCTAGCAAGCATGTGTGCAAACAACAAACGAGTGTATTTTGACTGAAAATGACTGTTTTTGGAGCCATGGCATGAGAACGCAAGGATGAATTCGATTCACTTAGCTTTTAAAAACAAAACAAGAAAAATATTCATCCAGTTGGCAGTTTAGGAGCAGGATTCATTGTGCTTTTTGAACATCTGAATGGAATCAAAACAAACACAGAGCTTTGTACCCATATTGTCTGGAAAAAATTCCAGACAATATGAGTACTAGGTTTTCTGTGTGTGTCTTTGTTTGTGTACAAATGTAGGTAAAGGATATGAGACTCACCTCTGGGTCTTGGCGCTCTCTTCCTGCGGTCTCTGAATGCAGCTCCTGACTGTAGGGCTTCCAACAAACTATCCATCACACCTGTCTCATCATTCTCTGAAAAACACAGGAAGAAAAAGAATGAGTGGGTGTTGGAAGACAGAGGAGAGGTAAAGAAACAAAATCAGATAAAGTGCAGTTTCTTTTAGTGGTGAAGTTTGCCATACAGATTTCAACCATTTGGAACTTATAATGGCAGGCCACTATATCATGTGTATACTTTGAGCTACAGCGATATAGTAAAGTCAAGTGCCCTAATATATGATGGGACGAGTTCCAAGCAAATCCAGGACTGAACAAGTCAGCAGGTTCTTGTAGATGTGCAAATGTGAACCCTGGTGTGTGCAGATTTAGTCATACATTGAATTGTAGTAATTTGCTGTATGATATCATGATATATATGTAAGATATTAACTAGTAATGGAATCATTCAGAGATCTTCCTTACACTGTCGAGCTAGAATAGAACACTCTAACTAATGGTGTTTCACAGAATTTATTGTAAAAAACTCTCGACTCAAAATATCAGGTCCTTGCTATGTAGAAGTAAGGGAAGCACCAGAATGCAGATATACTGTAGAAAGGGAAGAGCTTTGCAGATATGACATGTAAATCATGCCCTGTGTTGGTACAGCTGAAAACCTGGCCCTGACACCTGAGGCAGAATGATGGACCTGGATAGTGATTTGCAGTGAAAACAGCCTCCAGTGGATGGGAAGGAAAATAGATAGTAGGTATAAAGGAATGTTCAAGGAGAAGACAAACTGTCAATAAAAAGTTTATACTGTGGTTGTCATGCAAATGTGAATGTGTGTGTGGGTGTTTTCTTTTGAAACACTGCTTCTGTGTTGCCAATAACATTTGAGGTCTTTGCTAACCACCATGCCAATGGGAAGGGCTGTTTGCCACTGAACTCTAGGGGTTTTATTACATTCGACTACTGGATGCCATTCACAAGTTATCAGTCTCAGTTTGTTGTTTAGTTTAGATTCCTTACTAATAATTTGAAAAAAAACAAAAAAATGCTGTAGTATAAAATGTTGAAAAAGAAACAAAATTAAATGCAAAAAAAGGGGGGGAAAACTGTGATGTGGTGTTAACCTAAACCTTGTGTTTAATAATAATATATTTTTTTAAATGATGTGTAAAGAAAACACCAATTTTAGGTGATCACTTTTCTATCTCTGAGTTAATAGGTACTCTTGATGAGTGTAGCCATGTACAAACAATGCCAGCAAATATGCTGACACTTATTGAAACTATTGATAAGGATGAATGTGAACCGTGTTAAGATCTGGTACTTCCATATTTTGTAAAACTGAACTATTAATAAAGCTATTTTATATGTACCCATTTAGTTAAACACAGTGTGCTTAAGCGTGTAGCGTTTGATGTGCTATAAAATTTGTTATAACTTTATTGGCCTTATAGAGGCCCAGTTGTACCACGGTAGCATGGTGTGACTGCTGGGTCCCGCCACTGATTTAGTGAAGGGTAAGAGGACATTGCTCTGATTAAGGTTATGTGTGTTTTTCTCAGTCCTTCCATTTTGTCTGAATTCCCTGTGGAATAAATAACACACATAGAAAAAAAAATCTAATTGTATGGCTAAGACTGGACTTTGTGGTGCTATCAGGCCCTCTACTGGGCCAAAGGTCATCACATTCTATTTTAACACATGGGACACAGTTTTTGTGAAACTGGGCACAAGCACAAATTAAAGCAAACATGGCTATAGCAATCACATTTTTACAATTTTGGTGAACAGAGGAATATGTGCAATCCAGAACATCACCAACCAAACTGGAAATAGGGCCAGAAAGAGTGTGATATTAGCAGGAAGCATATATTGCCAGAAGGTTGAGCTGGGGCAGACTTCAATAATGGCCAATCGTGTAGACAAGGACCTGGACAGGCTGGCTACCTTTTAGAGAAGAGAGTCCCAGGGTGCAAATGTGCAGCCTCTCAAATATGATTATACTGCACTTAAATACACTGACTTTTAAGTTTATTAGCTAATGCAATCTGGTACACCAAGTCTGAAATAAAGCCTTTCTAAATCAAGCTTACAGATAACTCTATGCACGTAAATAGGGTGGAGGGATCTGAAATAAACTTTCAATATAATGATGACTATTAATGACAACTATGATGGCCAATTAGGTTTGTCCAAGGGCCCTTTAGTTATATATTTTTACTTTCCATTGTTCACTGGAGGCGCCAGGTGCTGTCCATAGTATGACCTATTAAAAAGCCTGTACAGTGGGGAGGAGAAGGCACAGCTTTGGTTTGATGTTTGGTGAGTTCACATGAGTTTAATTGGAATTGTATTTACAAGGTACGCACTTGTGTTGTATAAAAATACACTGAACATAGTGAATTCAAGTTTCTCTATTTTACCTAACCTTAATTGCCTTGTTAAGACAGGCACAATAACAGCAACTCTGTCGTCTAAACCAAAATAAACCCTTTTTTTTGTTCTACGAGTAGCATTAAGTTACCACAATCTCAATTTCGTTATACAACCTTGTCTTGTAAATGACAATAAGTAAACTTGAATCCTTGAACTGTAATTCACACGTTAGATGTAGAAATATTGTGTCTAAGGCCATTTTTTTCCTCTCACTCGTTCGGCTCAGTGTGAGTAATGCGCTGCCGAGCAGTTCTTTGGAAGCAGACTATCAAATTAACAAAATTACAAAAATTTCCCCCAAAAAACCCCAACTACCTGTGATCGCCTAGGCCAACTGCCGATATATTAATTCAATCGCCCAAACCTACTGTGAAATATGTTTTAAATATGTACAGACACACATAATGCTATCTATTTCAAAAGAGGACTGGGATTCCACTCAGTGATCAGCCTCTGAAGCTTGTCACCTCTGTCAGATGCCCACATGAAATTTAATCTTCAACTTATTTCATGCATACAGTACCGTGCAGCACCATGGTGGGTTTTCTGCAAACCTGCAAAAGCTGTCAATCAGCTCAACAGTACATGGTCCCTTTGCAGCAAACCCTCCTCTACACTGAGGCTCCTGTATTGAGGGCAGAGGGTCCCTAGGGTGGTGGGCTGTGGTTGTACCCAACCCCCATGCCAAGATGCGACTACAAACACACACAGACACGCACACACAGTGAATATATCATGGCCCACTTCCTTGCCAGCCTCTCTGTGCATTTGTTGTGCTTTTCATTTGCAACAGTTGCACTCCTCCTCAGGCTGATATGTGCCCAGTTCTTCATCATTACACAGAGCGGAGAGGCAGCATGAATTTCTGAGCAAAACCAACGTTCCTCGACGTCCAAATTTGTCTCCACTGCTGTGGCAATTCATCACAGGCAGCAGGCTTTACACTTCCCACAACACACATAGACATATACACAAAAATACAGATAGCAACGAAAACAAGCAAAAAGAAGCAGATCAATCTATGGCAACCTGCAGTGTGTGCCTTCATGTGTAGTACTCCGTTTGACTCCAACTCACAAGAACATGAAACAGTTTGTGTGCCTCAGGAGGCAAGGAAAAAGAAACTCACTCAGATCTCCCGCCTCAGGAATATATGGGAGCAAAAACAGTCCAATTTTACACATCAATCAGAAGCAACTCAGACAGGCCGAGACAGAAAACTGCTTTATAGAATGTAGACAAGAGGTGCTTTCAGACAGTCTAACAGTGAAAATCATAACACGTATTTATATACTCACACCCACATGCTCACAAACTTAGAGAGAGAGATAGAGAGAGATAGAGACAGAGACGAGAGAGAGAGAGAGAGAGAGAGATCACAGACATGTCACATGGATAGTAATGGAGGAGGAACACATGGCAGAGGAATATTAGTCAAGCTAGAAGCTGTGAAATGGGTTTGAAAGTGTCATTCAGCTTGTAAAAGGTGGTGTTGAGGAGAATGTGGCGAGAGAACAAAGACTAGTGAGAGGAACGGGACAGTGAAGAGTGGTATCCCAGCTTTGGCAGTAGAGCTACTGATTGGTGCTTTGATGTGCACAATTCGCCTGCCTATTTCTATTCTACTGCATCTGGGATCAGAGCTCTCACGACAGGTGTGCAATGTGCACAGAGACGTTTTGCTTTCATTTTCACAAAAAATGAAGACACTCTCGCAATCCAGTCTGAGCCTCACTGATGTCTATTTAAAGAATAGTAATCGTGTCTTCCTAGTTTGCACATCTTCATGTACGTAAGCTCCAAGTCCCATGTTTTAGTAGTGAAAGAAAGCAGGAACTGAGCCAAATGAGCCCGACTATCGTGTGTGGCCCAACTGTTCTCTTAGTTGGGAAGAAAATGTGTGAAAATATGTGGTTGGATGTACAAAAGTAGATGTACAAGTGTACAAGTCAGATCAACAAAAAGATAAAAGCAGAAAGGTGTTTACTCTACCACAAAACAAAAGAACAAGTCTGGGAGTGGAATCAAGACAAAGCTGAACCTCCACCTCTGGGAAAAGGCTATAGTTATCCTCCTGTCTGTAGTGAAACTTCAATCACCATCTATTTAATCAGAGCCTGTTCAGACTGGCATTTTCCATTGTCTGGACACGTAGCCTATCTGTGCGTCGATGTCTACCCTCTATTCAAACCCGGACTAATGCCTCTAGGCACTTCACTCAACAGGATGTGGCACTTATCATCAGGACAATGACCCGGTTGTAGCAGTGTGCGGCAGAGGTGGGCCAGAACAAGGCAAGAAATAGGGTCAATTGGGCTGGGATGAAAAAGCTAAGGAGAGAAAATCACATGCCTGGACTACAATGAATGCAGGCCAACCACTGTGTTCCCTTGGACACTCAGAAGGCAAATGGTGCAATAAGGCCAGTCAGCACCCTCTCTCTGTCTATTGAATATCCTCAGTTGCACTTTGCTGACACTTTGAGCAGCCACGCCATTCACTAGATGATGAATAGGGATGTACAAATGACAGCCAGCATGATAACTAGCCACCTGGTCACTCTTGAGCAACCTTGCTACAGTTTAATAAAATATAATAACAATAATAAAATAAATCTGCCTTTCTACTATATGGTACCAGTGGCGCCTAGCCTAGGAGCATACAATAAAATTTGTGATAAATCCATATATTCATAAAGAAACCCAATGAAATGATCATTCACCCATTAGAGCAGTTCTACAACTCGATAAAATTCTATTAAACACGGTAGTTTTCTTTTGGAATTTTCTCTAATGTTTGTGATATAATGTATAGTTTTACCCCTCCAGACCTCTAAAACTATTTAAAGTCAGCCAGTCTGAGAAAATCAAAACTTCTGGGTATGCAATCTTTGATGAGGCTTTATATTAAGAAATCAAAGGCAGAAAAGATTGGGAACCAATTTACTAAAGGCAGTCATATTGATTTTCTTTTAGAATTTATAGTTTCTATGCCCTCTTGCAGGATTTTCTGGTTTTAGAAAGTCTGGGCAAAACGATTTAAAATGGGAACCAGAATAATGGGCAAATGACACTGTAAAGGAAAGGCAAAAAAACTGTAACCTGAGTAAGTCCAAGAAAATCTTATTGGTCCACCATGACAGACGAATAAGGCTTTTTGTACATCTCTATATACGATAGTAGCCAACAGCAAAAAAATGCCAGCCATTTAATATATAAGGGAAGCAATTTGGATTCATTTTCATTTAACTGCTTTTTTTTTTCTTAGATATTTTTCTGCTGGAGTTGTAAATAGGCTAATTATTAACATTAAGGCCTTGGGTTTGTTCGGTCTGCCAGGCAGAGCCAAATTACATTAAACTTTTTACTTAAAAGTAACTGCACCCACACAAATAATCTTGTCTGCTGGCTTGTACTACCAACTAGTGGTGACAACATGCTTTTCTCACACCCTGTGCAGCACTGTGGGAATATAGTTCACAGCTGGGCTCGACATAAACAGGCTGCTGAACAAAGTTCAACAGTCTTGCTTATACCTTTCATACCATAAAGGGCCAGTGTAGACATGTTTTTGATTCCTTCAAAATCTAGTGTGGACAAACTGACTTTGTGTTGGGTCCAACAAGTTCACACCTCATGGGACACAACAGATCAGCACACAGTGGACGTTAGGACGTTGCTATAACATTGTTATTGTCACACACAGTGGGTTGTCTGCAACAACCAAATCGTCAACTATCAGAATAGTATCAAATGTAAACTAACTATGTGACCACTACTATACTGCTATTATGATACAGGGCATAACCTAGACTATCTAAGAAATATCTCATTACAACAGACAGTATCTTATACAAGCTCCCGCTTTGTTTCTCACCTTCTTTCTCATGCCCCTTCTATGTTTTTAACATCTTTGCATGCAGGGTTGCATCTCTAGCTGTTCTTCTATTTGACGTCTTAATAGTTCATCGCTTGTAGCCATGTAGGGAATGTTAAATAAAGCTCTGATGTGTAATTTGTCGCTCCACAAACATTCCCGCTCCCGGCCTACCCTGGGAGTTAATGCAACAGATTTGTCATACACAAGCCAGGCACAGCTAGAGGAGGAGGAAAAAACACCTATTCAATCTGAATTTCAATCTCCATAGGGCTCTATGCAAATGCATGCAAGCTGATGCTCTCACTCTCTCAGACTGCCAGAACACACAGCGTGGAGGACGAAACCAGGTTGAATATTATAGAGTAGCTAGAAGCCCAGTCTATGGCAGGTAAAAGAGACAGAGGGAAATGAGAAGGAAACTAGGAGAACCTCACATTTCAGGAATACATAAATAGATAAAGCTAGAACCAAACTAAATGCAGATACCTGTGGCAGCCAGCAAAGAAGCTAAAATCCATTTTGATCGTTTCCTCCAGGAAACCCTCCCCCTTCCTTCCCCTGTCTCTCATTGCTGTGCCCTTCAGCATAATGTGGATATGCAGCCTCTCTGGGGCTTTTTAGGGAATTGATGGATAATCAGATGATTACACAGAAAATCTCCATTGAGGACAATCCTCCCTGACAAACAAAGAGAAAGCTCTTTAGTTAATAAATAGGCTGAGAGACAGACAGAGTGAGAGACAGAGTAAGGGACTGTGAGAGAGAGAGAGAGAGAGAGAGAGAGAGGGAGTGAGTGAATAAATCCTGTCCTGGGTTGGCAGCACAATGCCAAATCTGTATCACATACTCATTTCATCCTTACAATCTGTGTGTATGTATGTGTGCATGTGCGTGTCATGCATTGCCAGAAACATCACTTGGTGGGGATCTCACTGAATTTGCCTTTAGCTTTATCTTAATTTCAGCGTATCTAAATAAATTTCAATGCTCTAGGCATATTTGTATAAGCCTTTCTGTCAAAATTTGGCTGAAGTTTATTCTCATGATTTTCTTACTTCTGAGATAGAAAAGTTTGCAGTGAAACACAACTCAACATACAAGCACTGGGGAAAAAAGTCCAAGCTGTCAATCTGGGCGAGTTACAAACAAAACATGCAAGAGTCATTCAAATTCACATGAGGACACATATTCTGTGCCAATAAAAACAGTTTGAGCCCATTTTATTGGTTTACAACACTTTAATAAAGTGGGTATACTATAATTATCTTTTCTCTGACACCAATAAACACAAAAAATATTTTAATGCCAAATTGAAAACAAACTAATCTAAATTCTTAACTAAATAAATATTTACCCCTTTCAATCCAATATTTGTAAGTGGCAGCAATTACAGCATTGAGTCTATGTGGATAGCTTATTGTCATCTGGAAAGTGCATTTGCCCGCCCATATCGTCTTACAGAACTGATCAGGCTCTGTTTAGTTGCATGGCATCTGTGAGTGAACAGCAGAATAACTAATTTTCAAGTCTTACCACAAATTCTTGATTTGATTGTGGTTTGGATTTGGCTACCAAGAGTCTAAGTCACAGCTCTATTAAAGAATAAGGAAATGTTTTGCAGGTTCTTTTTTTTTATCATTTTTTTTATCCTTTACCTTCACAAGCCTTTCAGGGCCCCCTGCAGAGAAGCAGTCCCACAGCATGATGCTGCCACTAGCCTCCCTAAATAAAAACCCAACAACCCATACAACACTACCCTATTGGTGGTAGTTCATTTTTTGGCATTAACCCTGTTGCTTCTATTTTCAGATAAACACAGCATGACAGAGGGTGAGATACAGCACACAATACTGGACAAACACACAGCACATAACCTATCCACCAGAAGCCTGTTCATTAACTTAAAATGGACATGACCCTTCATTATAAAACTTCAGGAGCTCTGTGGCAAATTGTCACAACTGAAGAATCTCCAAAGCAGAATAAAGAGAAAAGGGAGAGGTTTGTATTATGCTTTAGCCAAGAGAGGTCTTGGTTTGGCTAGATAGTATGCACACAGCAGTACTTTGGCCTGGATGGAGTATGGTGGTTCTCTACTTGCACTCTAATGTCTACAGGATGCTATAGATGCTGGTGCAGGGCTGGGACTGCCAAGCTCAACTGCTCTGCCAGCCTTGGCTTTGGCACTGCAAATGGGTCTGGAGGCTGCACTGTTGAACAAGTTTCTGGCATCAGCTTTGCTCCAAAGGGGAAGGAAAAAACAAAAAAAACAACTGGCTGTTGGAACCAGATGCTCTGGCATAAGGTGGACATTGCCTTCTTCATAGCTATGTCTGAACCTGCTTGCTAAATAGAGATACACTATGGTCCTAGGGCGACAGCGGTGGACAGTGTTTGAAAATAACAAACAGTATGGAAATTGGGGTGGAGGGTTGGGGAGAGATATTTAGGGTACAGTTAAGCGTAACTATTTGCACAAGCTAGCTGATTTTTTATGATTCTTCACGCTTCATTTGGCAGTATTTTTATGACTACCAAGCAGCTTTTGCTTGTGGCTAAGTTCAAGACTTGTGCTTGTCAACATGCAATGTTCAAACTTACTGTAAAGGTATTAACATAAATTGTGATTGTGGACTTCATATCGAATTATTACCAGTTCATCCATCACCCTTTACACACTGTAGCATAATGCTCTGCTCACTCAACTCTTTCGGTGAATTGTGGTTACAGAGGCTGTCCTTCAACCAGTTCACCTTAAAAGTCAAAGGTCATTTTGGCAATCGTCTATCCTACTAAAGTGCATTGTAGCAATACATTGAAAGCCTACCAAGGGTCAAGCAAGAGGTGAATTTCTATACTTAGATCAATAACCAATCAATAAACATTATATTACTTTTAAATGCCATGGTTTATAGCTACAGTGACAATAAAGCTGACTTTGACTTTTACATAATGCTACATGTCAAGGTCCTTGCCTTGTTAAATTGCACACAAATATCAGTTTTCAGTTCAAAATAAAAGGAAGAAAATGTGAACGTTCATAGCATGACATGGAGTGTGTTATCATGCAGTTAACGCCTATGATAATGTTTATTGATCAGAAATAATAAATGTCAAGACTATAATTTCAATGGGGCTGACATGGACTGAGTGAAATATTATCTAAAAAGCTTTTTAATATCACACACCAGGTAATTTTGCATCTAAATTATTTGCAACATTACTTGATACTTAATCATGCAATATAAGCACAAATGCTTTCTGTGTAGATGTGAGTTTTAATTTTTCATGAGATAAATACAGAACTGTGAGGAAATAAGTGTCTCCTCTAATCCATTAAAATGGAACTTGTATTTACTTGATAAATGAGAGTCATTGTCTTTGAATGATCTCTTAAACCATTTGATCCTAGATTGATTTAGCACACCGCTCCCTGTAAAGGGATTAACGATGCAAGAGTTGACAGGCAAAGCAGATTGAACGGTCTCTACCTGTATTGACTTCCAGCAACCTCCTCTTCTTCTGCTGTCTCTCCTGCTTTTCACGCTCCGCCTTCTCCTTTGCTGCCCGTGCTCTCCTCTGTTTCTCCTCTGACTCCCTCCGCTTCAGGTTCTCCTTCAGTGCTTGCTGTGGGGAGAGAGAGAAAGTGAGAGGAAGACAAAAAAGCAGAACAAGATGGATTGATAAGTAGGGTTAATTACAGTAGTGCAGAGCCTGTCAAAGGCAGAGGCAGCTGTCAAACCCCACAGACATCTTTATCAGGCACCATTAAAGTCAGATGAAGCTTGTAAGGTGCATTTTCACCCTGTTTCTGCCAGACACAAACCAACTTGACACTAGAGACTTCAGATGATAGATATCCATAAGAGTGATTGAACAATGACCTGAAGACACAAATAGAAGTGGCAGGTCTTAAAACATTATTTTCTAAAAAGATATTTTTTTAATATTTATTCAAATTTTTAGACATTATTAAGGCTCTGTTTCAATATTTTACTTGTTGTCCTTTTTTCCTTTTTCTTTTATGACCCTGGTAGAATCACCTTACATGATAAAACAAAGAGTGGAAAAAAATGTCCATGTGTTTAAAAAAAGAAAAACCCACTAACATATTATAAAATGTATGAAGAATAAAAATGCACAAAAACGGAAGTACCAAGCCACTGTGTGCACATGGATGCAGGCATTTAAAGCAAAACATTTAATAAAAAAAAATATGTATATCTGGGCGCCCGGTTAGTTCAGTTGGTAGAGCTGGCGACCCATGTACGGAGTTGCTGCAGTGGCCGAGGTTCGAATCCAACCTGTGGCTCTTTGCTGCGTGTCATCCCCTCTCTCTCTATCCCCCTTTCCTGTCAATCTTCAGCTGTCTCTATCAAATCAAATAAATATATATATATATATATTTATCATTATTATCAAAAAATAATGATGCACTATATCAGTGTCACGTGGTAGCCTACACTTAAGTAGATGTATGCTTATACCAATCAGCACCTAGTAGTGCAATACCTAGGTGTTGCCCCCACTACATGCAGATCAACTGTAAAATATAATCCACATTTAAAACCACTTAAATTTGGCAGAATCGGACTATATGACACCAACTGCTGGATTTTATTAATTAAGCAACTTTTCTACTAACGCTAAGCACCGAATTAAATTAGAAGTTCAAAATGTGTTTATGGATACATAAGTACGGCTTTCAAAAGAAATATGATCATTGATTACACTTATGTCTTGCACTTGTACATTATGTACAGTGCAAATGAGAAATCATATGCCATTGGGCGTTCTCTTTATTGTTTCATTCTTCTAAATAGAATGACTAATATTTGCAAAAAAATATTCTAGTTCTGCAATAGAATAAACTATTGTATATAAAATTCCATTTCTCTTTTTATGGACTAGTGTAGCTTAACCCAAATCATGCTCCATGAAGGAATAGGAACTCCTACTATACTGTTCAGGAAATGCTGACAGTCATCTCCAATCAGAGTAGCAATCACTATTTTTTCTTTTTTGTCAGGCCTGTGTTCTGAAAGCACACGTCGGAAAATTGTATGAACGCGTGCAGACACTTATCATCAAATACAAGTGAACTGCAAAAACAAATGAACAAAGTGAGACCTGACTAACTGACACCAAGTTCCAATTTTAGTTTCTAGGCCATAGTCCTTTCTCCTAATTTATTACATTTTGATAGTCCAAAAATGTTTGACGTGAAGATTGTAGCATTGCCAGTCATTCACTGTTCAAATACAAGTCTTGAGACGTGGTTCCTGTTAGGTCCTGGGACAAGAATGTCTTTTAATGTTATTGGCATTTGCACAAGCCAATGTAGCCAACTTCTAAACTCGTCACAAAATGCCATTAATTCCAGTCTGCCTGTCTATGAAGAATTATTTTATAGGTATACTATCTACTGTTCATCAACCACCGAGGGTACAGGCTCTATAATCCCTGTGCCAAAGGGTTGTTAAACTCACACGATGGTGTCCATAGCTCAATAATGCCACAGCCAAGAGAAGGACTGCATATGATTTAACAGAGTGTTAGCATGATTGCCATCCTGATCAATAGCCAGTCACTTAAAGCAAGGGAGTCTGGGCTTTTATCAAACACCCAACTCCTCCTCCTCGTCTCGCCTCCACTTGGGTGAATCACATAGCCGAGCTTGACAGGCAGGTCAGTGGAATAATTTTAATGCCAAACCAACATGAATGGATGCACACAAAAACACACTACGACAACAGGGGCAGTCGCATATTGAGGCCCAATGACAGCCTCTTATTAAGTCTTCATACTGGTGACTATTGTTGGAAATTATATAGTCGACTTGAATTCAAAATAAATCAGTGTAGTCCATTCAGCATCAACAAGCCACTTGAAATGTTGAGAAGAATCAACTCAAATAAACACACTGTAAATGCCTAATAGTAGGGGTGTAATAGTATATAATATTCAGTTTAATATGGCTCTACTACTCTGAGTATGCTTTAATCCGGCATATGAGTGGTCAAAAACACTCCTATGCATCCTATCCTACCCAATAGATACTGACCATAATGGTTTGTTGGCAGCTTTGCAGATATATACTTTAAACATGAATTTAAATTCAAAACAATAGCAACTAACAGCCCTGATATGTACCACTCAGCATTTTACAGAAATTCAGGAGAAGAGGAGAGTGTTGGAGAAGAAGAGAAGAAAGGGAGGTTGAATGCCAAATGACACACTGAAAACTATTCAAAGCTCTATTTTAAAATTAAATCAAGTCCTTCACAAAATTAACTTCAATTTGATGGGTTGCTCGTGGCAACCACTGACTCACTAATAACTAAATTCTTAATAGGCATCCAATCTGGTAGATGACACGCAGAGAGAATGAGGAAAAAGAAAAGGGAAGAAGAAGAGTGCTGACACGTAATACATTTTTAACAATTAAATGATCCCAGGTTACAAGTAGACAGCTGTGATGGATGCCTAATGTGAACTTAGTCAAAGTTCGGACATTCTTTCCACTCTTCGCTATCAAGCAGCTCTCTTATTAAAAAGTCAAATTCAATCAAAGCTACAAGCAGCGATGATCGGGCCCTCGCAGTCCACGCACATCACATGTAGACCACACTGAAAGTTTCACATAAATCAGATGATGATTGCCATATAAGCCTTACTTCCTGTTTCCAGCAGGTGGCACTATGAGTATGACTGAATATTGGCATGGAGATGTGTTCAGGGCGGGACTCTTATTAAACGGGTGAAGTTTTTCGTTGAGATGGGACAAAGTACACTAAAGCTATCACAAAAGGAAATGAGCGAATCCAAAATGTCCGACTTCCTGTTTGGAAAGCCATGTACAGGACATATTTTAATCCGTAAATTTCTGTTTCCGTCGATTTTTTCGAGCATGTTGCAGCCTCCAAAAATGCAGTCCTTTTTTCAGAAAAATAATAATTAATTGCATTTCAATAGGGTCCTCGCAGCGGTTGCTGATCAGGCCCTGATTACTAAAACAGATTGTAAACATACTTGCACTATAACAAAAAAAAAAACCAGAGCTGTCGCTATCCTCAACCCAAACAATTTCATACAGGCAGCAATTTAGTTAGTGGTAACATCAGTGTTGTCTACAACAGCCTCATAGATTGGATTGTTGACTACATTTAACAACACATATCTATAAACTAAACAATGTAAGATTAGTTTGTATTTTGTTTAGAAGACAAGGTAAAACAACGAGATACCCTCCAAACCTACAATGCAAATGACAACTGTACTTTGATATTAACAAATGTAGGCCAATGATAATACAGTCGGAGTTTGATGATTGAAGGTTTTAGGTCATTTTAACAAACAGGAGTCTACAACCATGTTAGCAGCTTTGTGAAGCTATTCTTTGGTCAAACAACACTGCCATTCCTAAAGCGATGTCGCTAGCATGGCTTAAAAAGTGGCAGATGGTTTCAATAACACGGCTATGCAGAACCACTGAGGAATTCTTTAGAGGCAAAATTACATCTTATTTAAAACTGGACCCTTTATTGCTGTCAGCAGCTCAGGAAAACAATGATTAGTCAATAGCGGGTCAATACAACAAGGGGGCCAGTGTAATGGGGGATCACTCTTAAACTTCACAAAGAGAAGAAAAAGAGCAGCTAAAGAACATTACATCAAAACTTCCTCGTTGGATAATGATCACAGCCAGCACAAAAAAGTCCATGATGTCTTCTTAAATCATAGGACCAATTAGCAAAATGAGAATAGAAAATAAATACAATAGTCACTGTGGACATAAACTGAGTATGGTAACTTGTAAAGTCCCTTTTAAACACAGGTAAGACAAGTTTCATTTGTTTTGAAATCGGAATTCAACACTGAAGGCAAGAATTATCTAAATACTTAAAAATAATGAGAACTGTTGGAACATTGATTTGGAGAAATAGTGAAGAAGAGCTGCCTGATGAAGAGTCATGTGATTTTTGCCATCTGACAAAGCATTCATTTTTACTGTAACGCTGAGCTGAAGGAGAGAAAGAGAGAGAGCGGGGAGAGAGAGCGAGAGAGAACCAGCTCTCTGAGGAAATTGCCCTCCGCTCTCCTTCATCACTGCAGGTCTGCTTCCCCCTCCTCCTCTCCTGGATGTCCGCCATTAGACACGCTCAATTGGATTCCTGTCAGATGTGCGGCCTCGCCCTGGGTCTCCTTCCTACGGGTGACTGAGCATGCTGTATGTGTGTGTATGAGTGTGTGTCTTTGTGTGTGAAAAAGCTAAGCAGCTTTCCCAATAAAAAATTGCCAACACAAAATGACATACGCACACAAACAAACATGCACACACACAAACACACATTATGCGAGCCACAGACACACAGTGCAAGGCTCAGTTTGCTTCAGGCAGTGGTCTAGAGACAGCACGCGCCTATTAGCATGGGCCTTGGCGCAGCAGGGTAAATGCTGACACAGATTTGACCGAGAGGTTACGGTGCTGAGATTTACTATATGCCTACGTTCACTGACCTAGCCTTGGCTTCTCCCAAGATATGTCTGTGTGATGTGACCATTTGAACGAATTGCTGAGGGTGTAAGCTGCTTACACCTTGACCTATCACAGGGGAATAAATAGCTACCTTGGGAGTTTTGACCATATAATGCTAGTCTTTATAACACTTGGCTTGTTCACCTTACACTGGCAGAGTCATTAACTGTTATGTTTGGTCAGGACATAAATGCAACTGCAAAACTCTAGCCTGAACCATGGAGCTAAAACGAAAGAGATTAAGGCTGCAATGTGAAACATTATCAACAGCATATGTTGTGTATTCTTTGCATTATTATTAACTGGCATTAAATTAATGCATGAAACAAACTGAGGTTGCATTATTTGTTCTGGGTGTGATTCATATCTGAACTAGGTTGTGGCTATTAAAGTGAGACAAATAATCAAAGCGCAGAGGAGTCCTAGGATCAATAGCATAGGTGAAAGAAATAAGAAACAAAGGAACAGCCAGGCTAAAAGCAAAGCATCTGTGAAACTTTTTTTTCTGACTCTGTGTGTGTTTCTCTGAGCCTGTGAAGACTGTGTAGATACTGTAGTGACTTCAGTCTCAGGTTAGGTGTCACATACTGCAGCCTCACGTCAGGACTAAGTGTTAGGATGTGAATTTGATCATATAAGAAGGGAAGAGGGCAGGACTAACATTTTGTGCCTCAAGGTAAAAAAGTTTTATAGTATATGCAGCTTTAACTTAAGGTGCTTATATGAGAGCTGGGCACTGTCAAAGCGATTGTCAGTTAGATTAAACATGGGTCCCAAATCAAAAGGGGAAGTCTCTTTTCTTCAAGATATTAACATATATTCTATATACCGTACTTGTAATGCCTCACAGCCAGTCCTTTTATTGGATTTCTAACAATAACACATGTCTGAATAGCTTAAACAAAACTGATTCTCTAAGCAGTGACAATAGTTAGTTTAGTGGTTGGGCATCTAAATGGTTTACGTGTATCTCAACAACACAATGAAGATGTAACAGAATAGGTAACTGTAGACCTATTTAAAACCATTCAAAGGTCTCTTGTCAGACTTTGTGTAGATGATACGTCTGTGTACAGTACACAGGAAATGTCTGCATCAGGCACACATAAATGTTACTCAGGTCGAAAGGGGATTTTAGGAGAGAGGTACATATAGAGAGAATAGAGATACCAGTCTGAATCTATGTATTTAGTTTAATTTAACAAATTATACCATTTCTGACCTTCAAGAAATCACCATTCATCTTGTATTAATGGCATTCAAGTGGAAAATTCCATTGCAGGTGAGGTGTCATACAAAATGGTACTGTCACAATTCTAAGCCTTGCATATAAAACAGGACCAAAACACCACCGCCACTCTCCCTGAAAAACACACAAATGTGCAGACAAAGCTTTGGAGTACAAAAAAAAAAAAATTCTAAAGCATAACCAATGACTATGCATAAAAAAAGGCAAAGAGGCATTAAATCCGTTCTGTGTGTGAGGTAGATGTTAAGTTGGGGGTAGGGCAGGAACTTTAGTAGGCTAATTAGCTACTATTATCTGTTGCGCCCAGTGGCCTGTGCCACTAATCCTGCTGATTAAACACAGTGGGTCTCCACAGCTCCACAGCTCACAGTAGCACCAGACTGATAAGGCCACGGAGCTCAGTGATGACATAAATGTCTGGGTGGGACTGGACTACACAGGACTGGCACAGTTCTGCTTTGCATTTTACTACAGGACACTGATGTGAGAATCGCATTAAAAAAAATCTGAGGATCCGTGCTGACACGCCAATGAAGAAAAATAGTAGCGATTTAAAACCATTTCCAAACATCCACTCGACAATACTCTAGCTCCATTTCACTTGTCTTGTGCTTTTTGGTATTCAAGGCTGTTTACAACAAAATGCAGCCAACCCACCAAATTTCAAAATACCTGACTAAAAACAGCTATCACTCCAATGTGAAGTATTTTACTGCAAGGACCTACAATCCAAAGCTTATTAGTTGATAAAAGATAAAATGCAATTCAAAACTATTAATAATTAGGCCTTAAAAATGGCATTATGGAACATCAGTCCACATGAATTGGCACTGCAAGGTATTTGTTTAAAAGGTGTATTTGGTTTTATTTATTGATGTCCCACAATTTCAGTTAAACAACCAACAAATTAACTGTAACTTGTGATTAAAGCAGCATTAATGATGATTCATTTTATATTAAAATGTTTAAATCAAAATATAAATATGTCCTATCCTACAGAGAATAAACCCATCAGCAACACCATTTTGTGTTAGTACTCACAGTGAACATGGACCGGAAGTTGCTGAGATCAGTGAACAGCTCCTCCACAGAGGTCTTCTTAGGATCGACAGCAAAGTACTCCAGCATGTTCTGATACAGTGTCTCCATATTGCTGTGCATTATCACGAGCTTGCCATACTGCTCTCGTGCAACCTTGCTGAAGCTGTGAGGGCTGTGGTCAAGGTCAACAACAGATCCATCCAACATAAAGTGTTAATTGAATGAGGAAGTACACTACTTTCCCACTCTCCCACAGCAATGCAAGATATCAATGTCTGGCAGAAAAAAAACAGAAAGCATTAACACATGTTGCCATGAGAATCTGAGGCTGGAAAACAGACTGTCAGTGGTAAACTGTGGTGTTGGCATTCGGAGCTCTGATACTGTCAGTCAGGTTACTACCACAGTGTGTTCACTACTATGACCCCCTGCAGTCTACAGCATCTGTGACTCATGTCTGGCTGTTGGCATAGTGTGTTGGTTTATCTGACATGCACAATATTAACTGCCAATAGAGACAAATTAAACGGAATATATTCCACTCCGAAAATAATGAGACCAAAATCACCAGCATCACCGTCACCTCGGGGTTGTGGTGCACCACTGCAATGCTTTTAGTGCACTTAAGTTCAAATCATTTTAACTTCAACCCTCTCTAGCACTGTCATTTGGATGCCCATTCAATCAGATTATAATTTAGTGAAAAGTTTATATTTATTTCTAGCACAAATTTCCCAGTGTAAATAAAGCAGATAATGATGTTTTTACGTATAATTGTTCTCTGGTTCTGTACTAAATGCAGCAGCAAGCACAGTCTTAGTCTGATTATTTTTAGGCTGCCTAACCCTAAAAAAAGCAAATATTATGGTTTTTAAGATTAACTTTGCTTTGCCAAAACTGATTTGCATGGGAGATTAAAGAGCATTAAAAAGGTCCTCCTGGTTCAACCTGGCAAAGCAAAGAACAGTTCTGTTATGCTGGTATGTTTGTGTGTGTGTATGAGGCCAAATAGGTAATGGTTGTGTCAACATAAGCTGGAGAAGTGTCAGTGTCAGAGCAAAGTGGGGGAGAAAGTGAGAGCAATAACCTTCTACCAAGGCACACTGTTAAGCAAGGCTACTGTAGGTCCCCATACACAATAGTCACCCAGTGTAGAAATCTAGCCAGCATAAATTTGCTGTTCAAAAATCATTTCACATGTTTTTCACTTTTGTGTTTATTATTATTGATTTTTTCATTATTATTTCCAAAAGCATAATCTGAGCAGTCCTTTCCACACGATGACTCTGTTTAATAAGCGTTTGATGCACAAGAATATAAAATCTGGGTTAGAATCAGCTTCGTATAAAAACATCTGGGTAATTTTCTAGGCAAATCAATGAAAAGAAAAAAAAGAAAGAAAGAAAAGGATATGTCCCTAACTAGGAGTCCTGCGTATGACTTGTTTCAGATAAGAAGCAACAGTGTCTGTGTGGTATCACAATTATGTGGGCAGCCTCTCTGGCTACTATTGTGCCCCTTCATTACAGTTCAATTGGTGGACCTATTTGACGTCTGGCCTCTGTTGAATCTGGCGGGGGATGGGACTACCTATTCACAGCTGGGTAAATGCTGTTCAATAAGCGCTGTTCTCGAATTGACGTATAATAATATCTTTCTAAGCCAGGAGCTGGAGGAAAGATGCATGGAGAAAGCCTGAGGAGGTGATGGAAAGCAAGAGAGAGGAAGAGAAAAGAAGAAATAGCTGAGAGCCACGGTTGATAAGTATCACGGGGTGCAAAATATCTCTCCTGGCATCTTCCCTACTCGAGAGAAAGCAGATGTCCAGGGCAGCTCTCGCTTTCTTACTGATCCTCTACTCGTTTCCGCTCATATTTCCATCTCTCTGATTTTCTTCTGTTCTAATCTGCCACCTTCACATGCTTAGCTCACATTCAGAAGTGTAACACTAGACCAATAACTGTATACTCGAGTGGCACATGAGTGATAATGGAATTTTCAATGTCATTAGGTGACACTCCAGGCTTCTCATGTTTAGCTGGTGACTGTAGATATCTCGTGAAAATAATGATTTTATGATAATCATAAAAGAAAATAATAATAATATTGAAGAATCTGATTGTATCATCTATCAAGTGGCTTCTTCAGGATGAGCAGTGCAACTTCTTTGAGAATAAAAGAGCAAATCCCCTCTGCTTTTGATCAAGTCACTTTTAGATATCCTATGAGTAATGTTCAGTAATATTCTTCTCTAATGTGAGATGGTAGAAAAATGGTCCAGTCAAAATTAACTTTAAACAGCTTAATTATACAAACATGGATTGCACAAAAGTATAATACCTATTGAGTCAGATACATGTTTGATCAATACTACATCTTATGATGCTCAGAACAATATTCCATGTTGTATTAAGTAGGTTACTAATCAAAAATGAAGTGGTTCTGCTGTTTCTGGACTGAGCACAGAGTGTGAGATTTGCATATGGATGACTTGTCGTAAATGTGACATATGACGATATGATACAAACTTTTGATCAAATATTTGTGATAAACATAGTTAAGTCCTGATGAGTATGTGTCTAGCTGAATTTTGGTTTCTGGTTTTAGTGAGTTCAGATTTAATCTTTAGCTTCAAATCAGTGTTGCTAAAATTAGACATTTTTTGCAAGGCACCTGGAATTTGAAAGCAAAGCAGTAAATGGCAGAGTTGTCAGATCCATTCTCAGTGAACCTTTCTGTGTTGCACTCAAGTTCCTTGCTAACTACTACAGCACAAGTCACCAGTGCCCCAGCCCCAAGGCGATTGATCAAAACTACATGAAGGAGGCTAGGTACAGGGTGTATTATTGAGCACACACTTGCACACCTGGTCTGAGACGTGTCCGTCAACCTGATCCACCAGAACTACTCCAGAGGACAGTGAATAATTAACACTGCTGCCAAACAGATACGGACAGCTGTCAGAAGTGGACCTGGATATCCAAAGAGGGCAGCAAAAAAGAAAAGAGAAATTGTCGATTACGCTTTTGTGAATTAGCACTTTTGTTTCATTATCGTAAACTTGAATAAAACACATTAAATTGCTCTTGTTCTGTTTCTGTGAACATACAACAATGACTGACATGAGAGAGAAAGTGAGTGACAGAAAGACGAAGGAGGCTTTGTCTCACTGCTCCCTCTCTAACCCTTCCCTTCATTTTGAAGTTGCCCTCAGTGTGAAGTACTCATCAAAAAGAGAGCTGAGAGGGGTACTGGCACAAAAACCTGACGATGAAACGGGATGCCACTCATGACTTGTACACATCCTCGACAGTAGAAAAATAAAAGCAGAACAGAAATGAAAGCATGTCTATACTGTATAGAAACAAGGGTGGGAGGGCTACCCTTGTCTAACTTTCTTTTGTGTTACTTATTATTTTCTTCAGTGATTGGCAATGTGTTATGGACAGTCCTTTTATAAATAAAGTGGTGAAATTACTGCATGTGGAGGGAGAAGGGCAAAGTTTTCCAAGTTTTCCAGTACAGGTCGAAGGTGATGGGAACTAATGGAACACAGCGTAAGTATTTAATTATGTAAAAGAGAAAGGAAATGTGTTTAATTGGGTGTTTGATCAACCAAAGACTTGAGAGTTCCTTCCCTTTATACTACAAATTCAGCTATGTGTTAAGTTATGAAAACCTGCTCTTTTGCCAGCCTGTGCAGCAATGTTAAAACTAAACATATAGCTCCAGCTCTTGTAACATTCCTGTAATTCTTGTTTAGTTTGATTCGTCACAGTAAACTCATTGAATAATTCCCCTTGACTGGTAAGCGAACGCATGCGTGCGTGTGTAAAGGATATAGCCATTTTTGTGAAGAACATGTCGTTGGGGTCATCGGGGGAGGAGAAAGTCTCCAGGTCTCTCTCCAGCTGCAGCAGCTGCCTCTCCATCTGCCTGAGGCTCTTTTCCAGATTCTCTGCAGACACTGACACACACCCACACACGTGCCAAGGAAATGTGAACAAAGAAGCAGAAAGAGGACAACTCAATTACAGGTACAATCAAGTGCATTATTATTTTGATGCTCTGAAAGAATCAGAGAAAAACAACATACAAAAAATAAATAACAGTGAAAATGAGAGAGAAGCCTGCTCAATTGCAAAGCATGCTTATTATGGGCTCACACTGTGCCACACACACGAACATGTGCCAGAAACACCAAGGGAATAAACAGTGACTGAGGAAAAAATAAACATCAAGTGAAGGTATGTTCAATACATAGTTTTTTTATTGTTCTTTGCTTTTCTTTTGCTCATGTGTATGTCATAAACAATTAAATTAATATAAGAGTACAATGCCTTGTTGGCTTTTCAGTAACACAAACAGTAAAACAGGTTAAAAACTGCAGCCTTAAAGTATGAAGAAGGCGGTTGAAATGAAAATCTTTCTACATCCTTCATCCTTTGTCTTTAGTCTTACCAACAGGTGCATGGATCATGCAGGTGGGACAGCAGCAGGGGAACACTGAGCCTAACTTTCTGTTAAGTTGGTCATGGCTGACACTTTAAGCTAGTCACTTGAATATAGCGTATGGCTTAAATTACCCTGATTAGACCCCACTTGACAAAAAGGCATAAGCTTCTTATTTTTAAGTCGTTTCAAATGTCCCTTGATCCTAATACATGCCGTACGAAAAGGGAAAAAAAGAGAGAGAGAGAGAGAACTTCAATGTAGCTAAGCTTCTCACTGAATTTATAGCATAAACCCCATTTACTGATGGGAACATAGTGTCCTGGACACACACACACACACACACACACATGTTCAATCAGACATCTTCACTAAAAATATTCTAAAAAGTCTACTGAAGTTGAACAATTTCTCTTTAAATGTGAAGTTTTATCGAGCGTGAATATGGTCTTTTCCCTGCAAGTAAATGTCACCATGTAAATGTAGGTGCAAAGAAATACATAAACATAATACATAAATAAATACATAAAACTCTCAAATGGCACTTTTCCTTCTGCTGGCACCCATGATTTAGAAAGAAGGCCAAACACACTGCAGTGCCAAATCACAATGTAACTCTCTCTACAGTACATCTGCATCTGTACCTGAAAAATGATTATCAGCTACATTTATTGCATGCCCTCAAAGTCCTATTTTTACTCTCTTATCTGTTCATCTTCCTTCTTTTTTTTACCTTGTGTCATGTCCCTGTCTCACAGTAAGCACTGATAATAAATAATAAAAATGCACAGAAATGCCACAGCATACCTTTCCTTTAAAAATCTTGTCACATTACATTGTGACCAATGATTTCTCAATCAGAGCAGCATTCACAGAGCTCTCCACTGACTGGCTGTTTCATTCAGTGATTAGTATTTGGTAAGAAATCACCCGGTCAATTTGGACAGCAAAACTGTGTCAGGATTTGTGTAAAAATCACGATCCTGTCAAATGTGGAAAACCACATTCTTATCTTAAAGCCATTAGAGACATAAAATCACACACATTTGCTCACTTGATGTCAAACCATCTATGTTGAAGTAAAGTCTGGCTTTAAGTATATTACTAGAAAAACACAACTAAAAGGCAGGTTTTACCATTTAATGCCTCATATATCTTACCTGTGACAGTGTGTTAACTGGCACCAAAAGTGTGCCACTATTGTGCTAACCAGTTAATATGTACGTTCAAAAGTTTAATATTATGTAAAGATTTGACAAAAATAATTTAATTCCTTATATTTCATAAAAAAGTTAACGGATTAACAACAAATTAAACTACAAAGATAACTTTAATGATGTTCAGTCAGTTGGAATACAAATATATTGAATATAACATATGTATACCCAATTTAAAAAAGCAAAAAAGCTTTAGGTTATTGTCTAGCTTCAGATACTCAAATTGTATGTGATGAGGACAAAGGCGCAGAGGGACGGTAATCTTCTTAAAGAGTCAAGCCACTCTCTCTCCTGCCTCTCAGGCCTTGTTCTATTATGTAATAGTTTAATCTTGTAAATTAATTGTGTGTGTTCTGTGTGTTAACTACTCCATGCTGCCCCAATGAGCAGGTCTTTCTTGAAAAGAGATAATGTATCTCAAAATATTTCTTGGTTAAACAGACAAAAAGTGAAGGGTGTGCTGTACAATATAATAATTGATCAAATACACTGCAGTTAGTCAAGGAGGATTTTTTTTATATGATGCAGAACTAGCTTTGTGACAGGCAAGCAATAGGAATTTCTACAGAAATTATATTTGCGAGTTAGTTCAGTAGCAGAAAATAAAACAAGAAATATACTGTCTCTGTGCTCTTTGAGCTTAAAGGCTAATGGCCTCTTTACAGCAATTCTTTGGATTCTGTCAACACTCATAATAAAACTATAAATCTTTAATAAAATAATCGATTTATTGATTTCCCAAACATCTGACCAAACGCCCAATATGATTAGTATGATAAATATGATAATGATGATAAAATTGTCCTAAAAATATTTTAGTAAACAGTCAGAAACTGTCACATCATCTGCTCGATCATTTCCTTTTAATCTCTCTCTTTTTCTGACAAGCCTTCTGCATAAACAAGCAACCAAATCTGCTGAATGGGGTGTGAGCAGAGTACAGAGGTGGAAGAAGACCAAACAAGCAGTCTGTTAATAGAAATTATTAAAGCTCACTGATGATGCACTGACTGAGAAAAGAGCGAGGGAGGGCAAGTCCGAGAGCAAAACAGAGCGGATCTCCTCTTAGCTTCACACTCCAAGCTGCAAGCTTTTGCTGATGAGGCTCCCCCAGGTGGAAGGTCATATGACCAAGAGGTGACAGAAGTTAAGACATATGCTTCAGGAGAAAATGTGCCTGGGACTGAGTATTGCAGGTGGAATAATTTGTTAAACACACAGAGATGTGTCCCAAAGCCGATGATGCTGATGCTAGATATAAACACACATCTGTCATATGCAACTTAAGAACTGTGAAATAATTGCTCTATGGTACGGTGACAAGCAGAGTGGGAGATAAAACATAAAAGGCTGTTGTCCTCTTTGTTCTCTCTGGCCACCTTACACTTGCTTTCTCTTTCTCCGTGTTAAAGCCTGAGTGATTTTTATGAGCTATGGGGCATGAATGCGTCTGTGGTCCAGAGGGGTTGCAGACAGACATAGGATGTTTTAGAAGAATAATAACTGGAATATTTGTAGAGGTCAAATCCCCCATTGACATCTTTTTATTACCCTGCCAACCTGCTGTGCTATAAATGAGACTGAGTGGAGCACACAACTGTGCATACTCACAAACAACCCCCCTACACACAGAGCTCCTCTATAGATCATCTTTTGATGTATGGAAATTAAGAGACTGAAAAAATACTGATTTTCCCTTTGAGGCCAAAGCCTGACAGACAAGTGTGAGTAGACCGATGGTGCCAGAGACTGGGATATGTGTAATGCAAGAAATCCTGTTACACACACTCAACATCCTGAGCACCTATATATACAAAATATATGAATTGCACAGTGTGGACTATTAATTCTATATCATTTCAACCTGAAACTCGTTACTCAGAATGCATGTGGCAAAACTACAAAAAAGAAGCTTGAATATTAGAGAACCATCTCAGTATAGTTCCTTAATGACAAGTCTTGAACAGAAACTGAACCAAAACAGCATTTCCATATTTCCTGCAAAATAAAATGTAAGCACACCTGTCTATTTAGTATTACGCATAGCTTTCCAAGTAAGTGATGTCTCTGCTGCTGACAGGCGGTATTTGAAGAGTTACAAGATTAAGTAGCCTGGTTCAGCACATTAATATGTCTCCATGTTTGTCTGATTACAACATCTAACTCAGCACCAAGTACCACGTAACAAACCGCCCTGATTGCTCAAACATGACTGCTGTATGTGTGTGAATGTTTGTGATGAGGGACAACGAAATAGGACTAGGAGAGAAAAAGGGACAGAGAGCAAGACTGATTGACCAGAAACCAAACAGAGAGACAGACAAGAAAGATAGACAGACAGAGACAGAGAGATATTGACAGACAGATAAGTAGATACATAGATAGAAAATGACAGAGAGAAGCAGCACACCAGGACTGCTTCACCATGTCACGAGAAATAATGATTGTAGTGCTGAAAAGAAGAGGGGCAGAAATAAGAAGGCAGACACAAAGGAACCCTGAACTAAGCTGCAGTTTTGCTTCCATGAGAGACGGGATTGGCAATGGGGGAAACGAAGGCTGTGTTACACGCAGTCAAAAGACAGTGGCTTTTGCAACAGAAGCACCAATCATTACTGCTACCTCTATCCAACCCTGTTTTCATGCTCAAGTAAGCTCTTTGGTTAGTGTCTATGAATGTAGTGCAGCCTTTTAGTGTGTCTTCAGGCCTCCCGAATGGCTGTCAGACCCGATGAAAAGGAAGCCACTCAAGAACATGGTTTACAAAGAGAAAATAGGATTTATGTGTCTGAATACTAGATATGGGGGGATGAGACACTTAGTGTATGCATCTCATAATGGTACAGAAACACAGAGACAGACAGTGATGGAGAAAGAGCAGTACATCTATATAAATGCAAATATATTCTCAGCTCGAGGTTCACAAAGTAAGGAGGTGGAAAAAGCCTCAAGAGAGATCAAGGCATTGTGCTTGGCCATTGATCACACCGTGGTACTTGTGAGTCTTGGCCAAGGGCTTGTTGCACAGTTTGGAGAAATGAAACACCCAACAGGAGCATCGTTATCCACAGATTATTAAAGCACCAACAAAACCTGGAGGGGTCCTTACAAAGAAGAGTCCGAACAATAAAGTCACACATGTCATCCTCACTCTGATTTCTCCTCCTCACCCTTTCCTTCACTCACTCCTGCTGGGAACAGTGGGTAAAAATCTTCTTTAGTGAGTGGTAAGAAACATGCTGTGACGATATGACCGCACACGCATATATAGCTGCAATATACACACACATACTGTACACAGACTGCTGCTCGCTACTTCCTCCTGAGAGTTGCCTATGACAATACGAACACAGACCATGACAGAGTCTCCTCTGACCGCACAGTCTGTCCCTGCTTGCTTGTGACCTTTACCATATTCCATTTGAGGGAACATGACAGAAGATGAGGGAAATGCAACAAAATTATTTAGAAAAATAAAACTGAATTATTACCCTATTATAATGTGTATTATTATAAAATATAATTTAGAAGAACATATAACTGAAAATCTTATTGTACAATATATAGTATTGTCAATGGGTTTTTAAAAACATGTGTAAGGGGGCCCCAACCATAAGCTAATACTATGTGGGGGGCCTTGGCATGGAAAAGTTTGGTCTAGATACACTGGCCAAACTCACAGCAGTCTGTGAGTGTTTGTGTATACACTTCTCTGTCTACATTTTTGTTAAACAAACACGAACACTTCAATTACAACAGTCTTTTGCTCTTTATCTGAGCAGTAGACATGACCTGAAGTATTCTCTTGAAAAATAAGTCTATAACTCTTGCTGCTACAGTAGAAGATTAATCTTAGTTTCAAACAGCAGTGCATATGAGCAGAGTGTAGCACAGATCAAACACCAACTAAAAAAATACAATGCATGTTTACAGAATCAACAAGCATCTAATCCCAGAATAATCCCCAGAGAGTTACAAAAGTAGAAAGGTAAGAGTAAAGCTCAAAGTAAAACTGAGGAATACAGAAGGAGAATGCTCCATTTCTGTCTAGGTAAGAACATTGTCTAGGTAGGCCATTCTGTTTATGGATTAAGCTCTCCAAACCACAGCCATCAATGTCTGGATTTCACACTACTGTTCAAAAATGCTGGACGTTACCACCACCACTTTTGGGTGCTTAAACCTTGTCTCTCCCTTAAGATTACTTTGCAGGAGCTCAGGTTAGGTTATTTTGTCTGGACGCTGATGGACCTTAAACTTAGTGCTTTGAAATGACGCAATGTTAAAATTGGGTACATGATATCAGTAGTTTATATGGCTGAACAACACACACAGCTCATTATGTTTTCATTAGGCTCACGTTCCCATCATGTACTACTGCCATTGTCTATACCACTGTACTATTATCCATGCTCACTATTGTTTATGTCAGGCAATAACGCTTAATGGACACCGTAACAAAAATGTTCTGAATTTCTAAAATATTATTCCATTTTAATGGCATGCCCTCAGTTGCCTAAACATCGAGTTGAACCGAAGATAACAAGGCTTTTCTTATCTAACTCAAAGCTGAAGAGGCTGGCTTTTTTGGGTTCCAGACAGACATAGTTTACCGCAGACAACAGTCAGGAAAAAATAAACAGTGTCTTGTGTGCATGTCTTTTGTTTGCTCAACAAATAGTTTACCTATTTTATTACTAATTTAGAATTTGTAAGACCAGGTGGAAAATTCTTGCAGGTAAACAGGAAAAAAGAGAACCTAACAACACTTAAAACCAAAATAACTACAATAATCACACTGTGATTTTGGGTTGAAGAAAGTGGATAGACACAGTGTTAAAATGATCAAGTAGCAACATAGTTGTTGCTTTATAATTAGAGTAGTGATCCTTGCAGGAGTCACAATAAATGAGGTGCAGTATGTTTTTCGTTGTCCTTTCAGATACTATTGAATATGTCTATTTTTAAGACCTTGGAAATATACCAAAACTCTCAGGATAGCATAAAAGTGTGTGTACTTGGATGGAGGTTTGTGCACATAGGTAACATTATATACATTATATACATTACCTCTGCTGGCTCGGTCCACATGCTCAAGGTCTTCAACAAACTTGATCACATTTGGAAATTCCTCCTCGCATACTTGCGCCAGGAAGTGGAGTAATGTGGTCTTTTGGTCTGCTGACTTTGTGTCCTTTAGCTGTAGTAGAACACATACACAAACACATACAGTTACACACAAAGACCTATGACTTACTCCAACTTACTTTAAAGTCCAACCGAAATCAAATTTAACTTTTTTGTAGTCAAACATTTTTTTTTTTTTTATAGTTTTCTATTATTAGCAGGAAGACTGAAATTCTCCAGCCACCTGGAGGGGTGGGGCTGTACCTGTGTTTGATTGACAGCTGTTGGCAGGTTGACAGAGTGCCAGTGTTACACTGTAGACAGAGTAACAAATTTGTGGTATATATGTTATGGGGGGGAAAAAAAAGGTTTTTTTTAAAAAAACCCCCCCCCACCCCCCAAAAAAAAAAAAAAAAAAATGGGTATATATGCTACTTAATGTCTGCAGCTGGGCAGCTAATTGGTAGCAGCAAACATGCCTAAGCAGTTAAAGTTTTTGTTTTTTCTTTAAATGGATATTGATCGCGGAGAGGACAAGAAATGGGGGGGGGAGGGTGGATCAAAGGGGTCACATTTGATCTAGGTGGATGGATACCTAGTGTATTCCCTAAAATGAATGCAAAACTAGGGGCACCAAGAACATTGGTTGTTTTGAAGTCATGATTTACAGATAAAACGTGTATGCAGGGGGGAAAAATAGGATCAGACATGATGAATAAGTTTTTTACGCTTAGATTGAACATTGACTTAATATTCAGATATATACATATAGATATCAGATAACGGTATCATACGCTGATATTAATGCGAGGGTACTTACATGTTGACTGGTAAACACCACACGTGCAGTTGGTGACTTTGTTTGGTGGACAAGGCAAAGGACATTTTTCATTCTCCTGGGGAAAAAAAAAGGGGTTTTAAAAAAAAAAAAAAAAAAAAAATGAGAAAGAAGAAAAAAAAAAAAAAAAAAAAAAAATTCCTCGGGGTGTTGGGGGGTTTTTTTTAAAAAAAAATGGGAGAATATTTTATTTAAAAATGTTAATATTCTTCTTTGTTTCCCTTTTTCTCAGCCACGTAAGTGCAAGTGCTTAATGTTTAAGTCTCAATTTGTTACTATAACCCTAATAGTAGTCTCAGGTTTAGGGAAGACCAGCCCAGAGTCCAGGATGGTAAGGGGGTTATCTATGTTTATTTATTTGTTTTTGTCTTTTGGGTTCATTTGTGGTTAATGGTTTGACTCAAACATACACTGAATTACTCAGATATAGCCAACATGTAGGACCGGTTCATTACAAACTATTGCACTATGACTCTGGATGATGTAAATAATTAACGAGGAGCAATTTCATTCGTTAGCTGGAACGTCAAAGGGCTGAATACTTTGGTCAATATTTAGTCATCTGAAATCATTAAAACCTGAAGTAATATTGCTACAGGAGACACATTTAAATATCAACTACCAAAAAAGACTAAGTTGTAAGTGGATTGGACAAATATATCATTCACGTTTTAACTATGAAGCAAGGGGAACAGCAATTCTAATTAGGAAAGGGATTCCATTTGAACACTCTGAAGTAATATCAGATGCTAACGGCAGATATATTGTTGTAGTGGGCAAGCTATTTAATACACCAATAATACTGGCTAACATTTATGGACCAAATTAGGACAATGCACAATTCTTAATTTTTTTTCAACTTTCCCGGACTTTAATTCCTATAAACTAATAGCAGTGGCTATTAAGTCCTTCCTTCGCTCTTATGGTTTATCAGACCCTTGGCGGATAAAAAATCCAACTACGAAGCAATTCTCCTTCTTCTCCCCCGTGCATCACAGTTACTCCAGGATTGATTATTTTATTGTCAATAACCAACTACTACCTTTAATTTCCAACAGCAAATATCACAGTATAGTATTGTCAGATCACAGCCCAGTGCAGATGGATCTAATTTTTCCAGCCAATGTAGCGGCCCAACGAACTTGGCAGCTAGACCTCCAATTACTTTTTATGTAAGCATTTTAGAAAATATCTCAACAATCAGATTTACTTTTTTTTGGAAGTCAATGACACACAGGATGTATCAAGGGGAGTTTTGTGGGAGTCTATGAAAGCTTACATTAGGGGCCAACTTTCACCTACGCCAGATCTTTTTAAGGAGAAATTACTATTGCAAACTGAATTTAATTATGACATGGAAAGCCGAAAAAAATATTTTAAAATCCAAACAGGTATACTATGAGCATGGAGATAAAGCGGGGAGGCTCCTTGCACTTCAACTTAAACAACAGTCAGCTGAACAAATGATCCCAGGAATTGACACAGGTGCTGACTCGATATCTCGCAGCCCCCCCGAGTCATTAATGACCAGTTTAAACAATATTATTCTACTCTATATCAATCTGAGGTAGATGGTAGCTCATCGGAGATTCACTCATTTCTTGATTCGCTCGATATCCCAAAGCTTTCTCCAGATGCTCAGTCACTTTTAGAGCAGCCATTGTCGCTTGAGGAAATAGCGAATGCCATCAGGTCATGTCAGACAGGAGGGGCGCCAGGTCCGGACGGGTTCCCCATAGAGTTTTACAAGGAATTCTCTTCAAAACTCGCACCCATCCTTAAATCTGTTTATGATGAATCTTTGACCAATGGAAAATTACCGCAAACGCTTACCAAGGCCACAATTTCAGTCTTACTAAAAAAAGATAAGGATCCTGTACAGTGCAGCTCATACAGGCCAATAAGTCTTCTGTGCTGCGATTATAAAATCTTAACTAAAACCCTTGCACAACGATTAGACCCTGTAATTCCCACAATTATTAATGAGGACCAAACAGGCTTCATTCCCGGACGGTAATCATTCTTTAACATAAGAAGATTATTTAATGTGTTATTTTCCCCCCATTCAACTGCACAGCCTGAAGTTATTTTAAGCCTTGACGCTGAAAAGGCATTCCATAGAATCGAATGGACCTATCTTTTCGCAGCCTTAGAAAGATTTGGAATGGGGCCCACTTTCTGTAGGTGGATCAAAGTCCTATATTCAACACCTTTGGCTGCAGTCAGGACAAATAGCCTGATTTCAGAATACTTTCCACTCCACAGAGGTACAAGACAGAGTTGCTGTCTGTCGACATCGCAATCGAACCCCTTGCAATTGCTATTAGATCAGATTGCAGGATTAAGGGTATATCCAGGGGTGAAACAGACCATAAAACCTTGCTTTATGCTGATGATCTGCTTTTGCAAATATCAGACCCAATTGAGAGCATTCCCCACCTTCTCCACTGGCTGCAAAAATTCAGTAGCATATCAGGGTATAAAGTTAATTTATCGAAATCTTTATTATTTCCATTGAATAATCTGGCAAAACAAATCACTTATGAAAATTCCCTTTTAAAACTGAAAATGACAAATTCACCTACCTGGGAATAGAAATAGCGGGTTCAATTAAGGCTATTTTTCAGCATAACTACAGGTCTATTTTAGATTGCACCAAAACTGATTGGATAGGTGGTCGAAACTCCTATTCTCACTGGCAGGACGGATACATGCAGTGAAGATGACTGTAATGCCCAGGTTTCTTTATTTATTCCAAATGATCCCCATTTTTCTCCCCAAATCCTATTTTGCTCAGCTGGACCGCTTTATCTCCTCGTTCATACGGAATAAAAAACCTGCACGTATAAAGAAGGTAAGCCTGGATATAGTTAAATCTGATGGTGGTTTGGGTTTACCAAATTTTTTATTTTACTATTGGGCAGCTAATATTGCCAAGCTGACATATTGGATCACCACATTTGCAGACAATGAGGGTCCGGTCTGGGCTGATATGGAACTGAGAGCTACACTCCCAGTTTCCCTGATTTCAATCTTGACTGCCCCTCTCCCACTAATCATCAAAACACCTGAACTGAACTCTAATTTGGTGGTCCAAAACTCGATTAAGATCTGGGGTCAGTTCAGAAAACATTTTAATTTGACAAGTATATGTAGCTTTTCCCCAATTATGTTTAATCATCTTTTTGCGCCATCTCAATTAGACCAGGCATTTGCTGTTTGGCACAGAAGTGGCTTGGTCTACTTTCAAGATCTTTTCAGTGATGATGGCTTTGCATCATTTAAATTTCTATGTGAAGATCATAATTTACCAAAGTCTCATTACTTCAGGTATCTTCAGGTTCGGAGTTTTGCCTCTAAATTTTTCCCAGGGTATCCATCTCCACCCTCCAAAGACCTACTGTATTTAGTCCTTAATGTAAATCCATTCAATAAAAGAGCAATATCAAAAATATATGCATTAATTCTGGATAGCTGCCCTCATACGTGAGACAAAATCAAGGCAGCATGGGAAGGAGAAGTTGGAAAAATAATACCAGAAGACACCTGGAAAAATACCATACAGCGTATACACTCATCTTCTCTCTGCATTAGACATGGCTTGATCCAGTTTAAGGTTGTCCACAGGTTGCATTACTCTAATGACAGACAAAATTCTACTCTTATTTTTTCACTCTCTCTATGACTGCCATCCTAGTCTTTACAATGCCCATACTCTGACTGTTGGGACTCCTTTTTTTTTTAATGCCAGAGGTCCAGAATGTTGGTGTCATGTCCCTTAGGATCAACACAGATTGGTTTGAGGCCTTTTTTTTTTAATCGATGTACATTTGTTTTCTTTTGATGTTCTGTTTGCCTGTCTGATAAGTTGGTGTTTAAGTGGATGTGTCTGTGTGGATGCCACCTGGAGGGGGTGGGGGGTGGGGGGGAGGTTCACAACTTTTGTAAGAAATGCTCTTAACCAATGATGTCAATGTTTTCAATATGGAATAATGATAAAGTTGTAAAAAAAGAAAACGTGTATGCAAGAAAATGCTGTTTAATTTCAGTTGTACTTTTTGCTGCAACAGTAAGAGTATTAACATATTTTGTGCTCCATAACCATATCTAATGGATGTATTGTGACAAAGGAAATTGACCTTCATTCTGCTACATTAAGCCTTTTCGGTAACTTTATAAATGCTCAGTGTCGACAGTGCTATAGATGATTTGACATCTCGTACTCATGCAGCAGACACGTATTCACAATGTGATGACCTCTCCTGTGCTTTGTGCCTCTCTCTCCCCCACACGTAACAATTTTTCAATTTCTCTGATAAATTTCCATCATCGCTCTTTTACAGTCTAATTCCAAGATGTCTCTCAGTATCCCCGCCAAACATCCCTCCTGTGGAGTGCGTTGCTGTGTATCTCCCTAGGTGATCTATTGGTAGACAGCAGTGTACTCAGCCCTGCTGGGTTTAATCATGTTTGTATTATCTCCTCTAATCAAACATTCTCATCTATCTTTTCATTTCTGTTTTCCCATTTTTTCAAAAGCTTCAAGTGCTCGCTCACAAAAGGTCCCTCTCTGAATTTAGATAGATGGTAATCATAGTTGACAATGTAAACATTTTGCTTTTTCCAGTTGGGCTGGGTGCAATTTTCATGTGCTGTGGAGTGTGCCATGGAATTAAGCTGTCAAACTCAGGGCAGACACAAAGGTGATGTCTTCCTCTGTATATCCTGCCTCTGACATCAACTCACACCTTGGTTCCACAACATACAAACACAAAGATAAGGGAACAGACACACTGGGAGAGTCGCGTTACAAAATGTGCTGAACACAAAACACTTTTATAAATTGGTTATATTATTGTCACGCTAATTAAACTAATCCATCATGTATGTATGAATCCTTGTTGTGTGGTGTTTATGTGAACATAAGCATCCGAGTCTAACAGGGCAGAGAGGTGGCAGTGATGAATGATTGCAGTGGTTGTTACTGTGGAAACTGCAGTGATTGTGCCAACAGCTGTAACGTACCCACTGTAGGACTCTCCTACTCCAGGATTTCACTCTGTTCACACCGTCATTATCATAGATGAAAACTTGTTTGGCCTTCATGTCATGTAAAATCCAGAGGTATAGGTATTTATTTTGTCTCTGCCCCAAGAAGCACGGGTAGTCCCTGCAGGGTGTGTGAACTTTCAAAGGTATGTTAGCCGTAGCCCCAAAATTCAGCATATTTGATGAAGTTTGATGTACTTTTCGGATTCTTGCAATTTTTGGGTTGTGTCCATGTGGTTAAATGCACATACTGTTTACTCTAAATATAGCTCTGTAAAATATGTTGAAAAAGTTTTTCAATAGCTTTTTTTAAAATTTTATATAGAACACGTATTGCTCATCTTGAACCACTGCCACTCAAGGGACAGAGGACCCTCACCTTGCAGAGGGAACTGAGGTCAAAGCCATACGTCTGGGCATTTCGAGAGCCTGCATTCATGTAATTCCCCAGTAGCAACACCAGCTCCAGCAAGCGGCCAAAAGAGCGGCTCTTCCTGACCTCATCACATGCGGCGTTTACAGCCAAGATATCTGGACGCAGGTTGTTTATCTGCTCCTCAAACTGGAGCCGGAAGAGGATGTGGCTGAGGCGAGGACGCAGACGCTTCACGCTGCTCATCTGGGAGAGGAGAATAGAAATGGACGAAACAAGGAAGCATGAAGGAGATAATAAAATGAAAAGAGAGAATTACAGAAAATAAAATAAAGAAGGAGAGTAGAAAACAAAAAATAAGGACTATGTCAAAGAGAGGGAACAAATTCAGATAACATGGTCAAACTTAAAATAACTACAATCGCACTTTTGGCACACATTCAGCCGGTCTAATCTAAAAGAAATTTACGCAACCGGCATGCTGGAAAGTGTTGCTAGGCAGTAGTAATAGATGCTGGCAGTGATTTGATTTGGGACCCAGGTCTGGTAAGTTAATTGTGGAGTTAGTGTCCATATAGGGCAGGCAGCAGAGGGGGTGGAATATACAATAGGCTGCCTTGGATTACCACTCTCACACAATTAGAGAAAATTGGAAAATATTGCATTGGGCCCAGGGCTTGGCCACAGCAGTGATTGTGTATGTGTGTGGGGTGGTGGGGAGGGGCGCAGGTTCCAATTGTCTGTTTCACACAACAGCTGGCTGTGCGGTTTGATGTCTTCCATCAAGGGTTTAATTATAGCTACTGTAATGTTATCAAATGACTATTTCAGTCGGTGAGTGAGTGAGTGAGTGTGTATGTTTGTGCGTACATGTTGGTGTGTGAGTTTGTATGAGAGTGTATGTTTGTCTAAGAGAGAAAGGAGAGAGGGCAGGAGGAGAATATTAAGAAATTAAGAAATAGCAAGGTGCACAAAAACCTAAAATAATACTGAAATGGAGCCCAGAGATGGGCTAAATTATGTGATAAGGAGTAAGGAGAACATAATCAGAGGAAAAAGAAATAACACAAACACACCTGGGCATCTTCAGAGTGAATGTGAATGTGAATGTGTGTTGTGCTTTCCATAAAAGCTACAGAGGACACTGAAGCAGTTGGAGCTGCTGCTCTCAACAACATGGGATGGGAGTGTGAACAGTGGATTAAAAAAATGATGCACTATATAGTGTAAAAAAACAATACATGTGAGTAAATATTTTGGCTTTAATTCAAAGAAGTGCCAGTCAAAAGGACAGTGTCTACAGTTGCACCAGCAGAGTGTACATGCTGGTAAACAGAATGATTCCTAAGATGTCAGGGATCAAAATTAAGTCTGTAATCATCAACCACAACTGATGTACAGTGATAACAGCTCCTGTACTGCATGAAGTTGATTAGTGAAAAAACCACGGACTGTATAAAAAATAGACGTCAAGGTTCAAAAGAACAGTGGTGAAGCTCAGGGTGGTCAGCTCTGGCTGTCGCCTTCTTGGCAGTCCTGACTCCGCCAGCTCCTGACTAATCCAATAATGGTGTGGAGCTGAGGCAGGATGAATGAAGCCTGGTTACTGAAAACAGCAGTCTGTGACAGCACCCACCTGTCACTGAAATCAGTAATGCCCTTAATTATACATAACTTTAAGCCTTCATATAATTTAGATGGGTTAGTTACATAAAAATTCAATCCCCATACAGTTGTCGCGAACAGGGAATTTAGCTATGGAGACCAAAACCTTTTTTTGTTGTAATTATGTTTATTTCTGCTGTAACATTGGGGATTTTAATATGGGGGGGCTTCTGGAGATTGACTCACTTCTGTAGCATGCTACAGCCTGCTGTGGCTGTTAAAGGAACTGCAGTTTTTGTCACTTCTGTGTTTGCTTCATTTGCCAGCCAGTTGCCGCTTGGTAAAAAAAAAAAACATTATGGAAATGAATACTCTGTAGGAAGATCAAGAGCTTTTTTGCCTTTTGACTGCTTGTCACAAAGAAGTGACTTACTAACTCATTCATGTAGCTGCAGAAAGAAACATTAAATGACTACATTACCCTTGTGTCCTGCAAGGTACTGTAAGGATTTTTAACAATGCAATCAGATCTTTTTTTCCTTTGAATAGACACTACTATTATGCACTACTACACACAGGGTAGAGTTCAAATCAAGTGTGAGGGTGGCAGACATGGAAAAAAGAAAATATAAAATGCATGTGTTTGCACAATGGTAAATTAAAAATTCCCTTTGAACCTGAGCTTTTCTGATAGGTGAAAGCACACAGGCCTCCTTGGGCCCACGCAGGCACAGCAGTTAAACAGCATTATATAAGCAGGCTCTTCTTTGTTCTATGTCTCCCTGATGAACTATACACAACAGCTGAGCATGCTCTATTTTCACTCCCCTCCCCCCAATTAAGGCACTGCATTTTCATTCAGTGATAAGATTCGCTTTCATGGGTGTTTACAAAACAGGTGGGTACACAGGGCAGAAGAGGACTATTGTATGTTCTGTCAGTCAGATGGTTGCTAGGGAGAAACACAAAATACACAGAAAGTGCTACAACCCTCATGCATAACTTTGAATAAACCTCCTTTGAAAAGTCTTTAAGAAAATGATGCAGACATAATTAGGCAGCATAAATTAGTTCAGCAGTCCAGTCCACAGGTGTCTTGTTTTTCCTCTTAAGGCTTAAAAAGATAGAATTTTAAAAAGCTTAGGATTAGATTATTCATATGAAAGTGCTCCATTTGTATGTGTGTGTGTTTATAGGAAAGAGGGGGGAAAAAGCGATATGATGCATATACAAAACAAGTTTACATGACTATAACATTAAAACAGTAGTAAACCAGTTTTCTGAAACTACGTATGTTCATTGTGTTCTTTTAAACCACCATAGTCAAACTACACTGAATTTCAACTGAGTTGACACATAATCTTAGCCTTTGATCAACAAAAATAGGAAAAGTATTTTTTGCGATACATGTTCATGTTGATGAGAGCTATAACCAGCTGGTGTGGAGATGACAGATTTGTGTGTGTTTGTGTGTAAAGTGTGTGTGAAAGTGTGTACTCACCACAACCCCAAACTGTTCAGGCTCTGACAAATTTGCGTACTCATTTTTATACTTGGCCAAGGCGTTCAGCTGCTCCTGCTCTGGAAGGTGCTTCACAAGGTTCTACAAAGAAGAGAGAGGGAGAGAAGGAGTGAGACACAGCACAGAGGAAAGCAGAGCAGATAGAAGCAACCGGTATAAATTTATATAAAAATAGCATTGTGATGATGTTGTGATACTTGACACACTTTGTTTTGATAAATGTACTTGATGGGATATTATAGCCTCTTCATTTTCATGTTTAAATTTCTTTACCATGTATAAAATGTAATGCTTCAAAGTCCCCCCCTTGGGGGATTAGCTATATCTGGGTTTCAACAGCGCTGTGGTTGCCCGCAGTCCACGCCTGCAATGTGGTGTTTCCCTAAAATTGAATTTACAATTGGCCCTAGGACTACTGCTATTTGAACTGTGCTTGTATAGAAATTTAACTTACTTAGGTTTTATTTGCTGTGTGTTTTGTTGAGTTTCAGGCCCGTTGGTCAGCTTCAATAAAAATGTTTTGTAATTGCAATAAATTGTCTTTTATTATCAAACAGACTATACTCTGAAGGCTATATGCACTTATTGCGTTTTTTAGACAGCCAAAAGGAAACAAATCTTAAATATTATAAAGCCATGTTGATTATTATGCCTTCTCCTCTGAATTTAACAGCCATCTCAACAAACACTGCTACTATGTGGTAAATATGTTGGTCTGAAGCATTTAAATTGGGTTGACAATCTGTCCCTGATGCCTGGAGTCAGGACGACTATTGCTACATCCATTACTTGAGTTTATATTGATGCAGAATAATGGACTGCTTTAATCACCATTAATTATTTGCATGTTGTAATTAACAATTATTGATCAAATTAAATATTTATTTAAAATGTACATCCATAGCTTAGGTTTGGTTTGTTTTTTTCTTTCAACTCACCTAACCCACATCTGCACTAAGTAATCAGTTAAATAATCTTAAACCCTTAACTGCATCAACAACAAATTGCATCAACAAATTCTGAGCCATACATTTTTGACATCTACAAACTGATTTAAATTTGGCTTGACAAATGTACGCTGTATGCTTATAGTATACTTATTTAATTCCAGCCATTTAGACTACTGTAATTCCTTATTTGTCGGACTGCCCAGGAAATCAATTGACGGCCTCCAGCTTGTATAAATATGACTGCCATGGTATTGACAAGAAAATTGGAGCACATTTCTCCATTCTAGCCTCCCTGCAATGGTTACCTGTGTCTTTCATAACTGACTGTAAGGTTTCATCACTTATTTGCCTCTTCCTACAATGTTGACCTTCTCTGTCCTTACATTCCTGTTAGTAGCCCAAGGTTTGCCGGCCAGTTCTTGCTGACTGTACCCAGGACCAAACTAGAGACAGAGGGTAGTAGGTCATATGCTGTAAGGGATGAGAACCTCTATAACAGCCTCCCAAGGCCAGCAGTGTCAGTTGCCTCTTAAAACATAGAAAGTTATTTTTAAACTTGTATTTATTATACTATTAAACTTTTAAATTCACTTAATTTTGCTTTTTTTTTTTTTATATTTTGTATTTTCATATTTTCTCTTCTCAACTATATTATGTATATTGGTTTTTCTCTTTTGGGTATGTATGTTCAGCTTAATTTGTCATAAGAATCCCTTTTGGCATTGCAAAATAGTATAATAAACACATTTAATAAAATGAAAATAAAAAAATTAAATTCTTGTAAAAAATACCAAAACTGACAGTAAGTGTGCACTAACACCAATGATGCAAAAGTATCAATACCAGAAACTAGAGCTTGACCAACAGAGAGCCGAAATTGTCAGCCCATATTATCACAGATATCAGTAATACCATATATGGCAGGTGAAAGTAACGAGAAACCCGCTATAAAATAAAGACAGGCTTGCAGTAATTTAGAAACAGTGTCACCAGTACACAGTTTGTAAAACGTCCCTTACAAAATATACTTACAGACTGTATAGCCTCAAGATAAAACGTTGCATATTGTAAGCTGAGCTAGATAGCTACAATATTCTTCCCACCTCAGAACTAGTTGCATATATCTAAGAGTTACGTGGCCAATCCAAAAAAGTAAACTACTAATGTCAGATAAGTAACTGTAGTTCTTAACCTTCAGATGTCTCTCAAAACCTGCCCTACCTGAATCATAGGTTCAGTGAGTTGCTCCTCGTCCACCTCCACTATCATCCGACGAATTTCCTGATAAGGCATACGGAAGGAACCCAGGAAGATGGCTACATGGAAATAAAAGATGCAACAATGCTGTGGTAAATCTAAAACAATGATTTAAAAATGACCAGCAATGACGCAATTTCAGAGAACTTAGTCATACAAATCAATAAGGAAAAAATAAAACCAAAACGTAATGTGAAATAAAAAAGTTCAAGGACAGATGAAGGACATGAAGTAGGAATCAAAGAGAACTAAAATTAAATAAAAAAAATATCAGAATATAGTCAGCCAGACATAAAAATGTTACAGTGGTTTAGCAAGCATGGCTTCCTCAAGCAAGTGGTACCACTAGGGACTGAATGGCAAATGCCCTGTCAGGATAAGTCATTAGTCTAGCCAGAGAAACCATCAGCGAAACCCTGACAGTTAAAAGATGTGTGACTAGGCTATGAGCCAGATGCTGCAAACTTTACCAAAGATTATTGGGAATATTTATATAACATTTTATATCCTAGTTTATTTTGTTTATTAAGTGTTTTGTATTTGAGTGAGTCTGTTGTAAAGAAAGTTACAGATATCAAATTGATATGATATATGAGAGAATCAGGAATAACTCTCCAAAACAAACGGTCTTTTCCAATCTCACTGTCAACACTAGTATATCTAGTTTATCAGTGTCTGAAACCACTTCTTATGCAAAGGGACACAAGGAAGTTACTTTAAACTGATTTAAAAATCTTGGTGAAATATTGCAGAAGCAGGTTTGCAAGGTGTCAAAAGATACTTGGGACACTTTACATTCCTTGAATGTGAAAATATACAATAAACCTGATAAGATATTACTGAGGTGACTTAAAACAAAAAGTGTGGCTATTCAAATTGTTTTAGATAAAAAACACTAAATATAGTCAATGGAGGTCTGACATTGTGAAGTAGCGTGGCATCATAGGAGTTGTTCTCGTCATTGTTAAAGAACAATCATCGCAGATGAAAATCTGCCTTGACTTGGGCAGAAATTATGTTCAAGGACAAGGTCATGTATTAAAGTTTAATTCGCATTACGTTTAGTCACATTTGAAAACTTCTTTCCTCGCTCTCTGACAAAGCCCGTGTTTTCCCGACCAAATGAAATGCACCATTACCTTGTGATGTAAATGATGTATTTCCCTGGGTTTGAACATTGTTGTGATCATTTGAACTCTCACTCAAAAAAATGCATTACATAGACACACCCACATTTTAATGTGGAAATGTTACATATTATACCCTTAAAACACATGCAACATAAAATGTTCTATGAGTGAGCTTTGTACCTTTATTACTAACATTTAATTCAAACTCATTAGAACCCATTACATGGAATAAATTTGCCTGGTATCTTAATAGTGACAGCATCAATCAAGCAACAGAACTAAAATTATGCATATTCATTGTTAACCTCAATTAAAGCTTTTAGACTCTGTACCTCCTATGGTGGAACACATAAATCGCCCACTCTTCTTTTTTTTCTCTCCTTATTCCTACTCTATAATTTCCGCTGCATGATTTATCATTGTTACTGGGCTGATTAGTCTCATTTTCTTTTAATACATGAAACAAAGGTCACAGCTCCCCTTGATATAAGCCAATGAGGTGCTAAGATCTGGGAGTGCTTAAGAGATCAGCTGGATCCTCATTAATGCCGGGTGCTTTTATAACGGTCATTTTAAGACCATGCGTGTGTGTGTGTGTGTGTGTGTGTGTGTGTGTGTGTGTGTGTGTGTGTGTGTGTGTGTGTGTGCGTGCGTTTGCGTTTGTGTTTGTGTGTGCATGTGTGTGTAGACAGTGTCACAGCTAGCAGTGGCCAGGTCCACAATAAGTGTAGTCTTGCTTTACTTGCTATAGCAACAAGCAAAGGTGTAAGTCATTCCCAGCCAAAATGTATTTAAATTTGTACTTTAAATTTATACTTTATAACATGCAAATAACATATAATGAAGGGATACAGGAGGTGACTTAAGTGAGAAGACAGGAAAAAGTGAGAGCAAAGTGTATTGTGAGGAACTGTGAAGACTAAAATGACAGACATGCTCAGTACACTGTAACATCAAGACACAAGGTTGTGTATAAATCCCGTCTTAGGGAGGAGTGGGCTGAAAGGAAACAAATACTTACATAGATTCTGTGCGATCTTAGGATCGAGCACTTTGAGCTCTTTAATTCTCTTCTTTATGGATTTCTTATCCTCTAGATCCTCCTCTTCTTTTTTGGCTGATGAAGACAGAAACACTGAATTATTTTCAACACACAAAGGAAACATTTACACAAATGCATGCACTTACTGTTTTGCTGATATATGTATGATACGCATAAATTCAGATACGGTGAGATTATGAGATTTACATACACCGACCAGCCCTGACTGGTGAAGTAAATAACATTAACTATCTGGTTATCATTGCATCTGTCAGTAGGTGGGATATATTAGACAGCAAGTGAACATTTTGTCCTAAAAATTGATGCATTAGAAGCAGGAAAAATGGGCAGCGTGAGGATTTGAGCGACTTTGACAAGGGCCAAATTGTGATGGCTAGACGAACATGGGTGGCTTAAGCGTAAGCAGGGAGCAAAGACTGGCCCATGTGGTTCCGATCACACAGATGAGCTACTGTAGCTTAAATTGCTGAAAAAGTTCATGCTGGTTCTGATTAGAAAGGTGTCAGAACACACAGTACATCACAGTTTGTCGCATATGGGACTGCATAACATTATGACCACCTGGGCACCCAGGTGGTCATAATGTTATGGCTGATCTGTGTATCCAGGCACAACATTATGGAAGTCAGTGCAATGTAGAGACTGTCCAGTTGTTTATTTTTCTTATCTTTTTTTATTGAGTTCTAAAAGTAATTTTAGTACTAAAAGTACTAATTTTAAAAATGTATTAATTTTAAATTCAACCACAATTTATGTTTCTTTCCTCTTACGGGTGTGTGTTTATATATGTTTCCAAATATTTCCAAAGGAACGACACAGTCCTCCATGACTGCTGCCAGAGAAGCATGGAGAATAGGATTATGGGAAAGTCTTGTGATCTCACCACTGACAGAGTAAGGTATGGGGGAACTATGGCTGTTCCATAAACACAATGTTGCACATACAGTTTAATGAAGGTAAATCGTTTCTATGTAACATGGAGCCAGGAATGGGAATGTGGGATTGTGACATATGTGCTATTGGTCGATAGGAGAGGTATAATGATATCTCAATTACAAACTATACACCAATAAGGCACATATGCAGACATATATATATATAAATGCATAAACATGAACATACACATCCCTCTTGAGCCACGTTCACAAAGAGGAGATGGTTTTAATTATTTAAGACAGATTAAGAGAACAAAATGTGCATCCCAGGAGTATGCTGGGTAATTGTCTTGTGCTGTAATTATGGTGTCTGAGAGGAGAGAAGAGGATAGGATAGGAGAGGAGAGGAGAGGAGAGGAGAGGAGTTAATCCACAGGAAAGGTATTTCTACTGTTCCACATGGCCTTGGTCTTCTTTTCGGGGATCCTGTATCTAATTAAAAAGTGAAGAGGTATGCTGGGAGCTCCCGCAGAAAAGACTGTTAGCATGTCCACAAACGTGCACTCCTACAGCACAGCTCACCACAAAGAGAAATACACAAACACGGCCACACACTGAGCTATCCTTGGACTTACGTGGCTCCTCTGTTGGTACACTATCCTCACAGTCTTTCAATGTGTGAGAGAGGTGAAACAATGCATAGGGCAGACAGGAAGACAAGGGAAAATGTGCATCATGGTAAAGGGAGAGGAATGAGAATAATGAGATAAAAATACATGTTCACAAGATTACACCCTGTCTACTGCATGTTACTGCAGACACAAGTAAGGAGAGAACAAATACAGTGTAAAAACTTAAGTGGAAAATAGCTGTATAAATAAACAAGTAAATAACTTCATCAAATAGAAAACTGGAGAAAAGGATGAGTTGCATATTATTTGGCATACACTATCTATTTTCTAACTGTAATGCGTGTTAACAGAAAAATTGAGATTCAAGAGGTTAAATAACAAATAAAAACCATACACACTGCCAACAGACACAACAAATTGGTCTTAACAGGCATGAAGGGCAGCAGTCACTTTGCATCATCTGCCAGTACAATTGTACCCTGTTTTCTACAAACGTCCAACTACTAGTGTAAATATGTTCAAAAAGTAACTTCACTTGAGATTGTCTCTATGAATATATTCAGTGCAGAACAGCAATTTCAGCAAGTACAAATAAATAAAGGAAACTATGTTAAATTATAAGGCACAAATGAAATCAATAAAAACGTAAAGATGTCAATATTTACATTAAAAATCAGTGTAAGGGACTTAGAATTTTTAATCTTAGGGAAATGGAATCTTGAATTTGATATTAGTTGGTATATTGATGCAATATTAAGCGCTATCCCTAGAAAGCCTCCAGCTTACTGCATTAAGATGTTGTATCGATCGACTCATCATAACGTATAGCCTCATAGAATCTCATTTATTACACCAACACATTTACTCTCTCTCAAACACACCCACACACACAAGAAACACACAGTACCAGAGAATAAACCACCTTGTTTCAGTGCATATAAACATACTTGGCTTGGTTTGTATAATTCATGAATCATCCTCATCATCCACATAATACTGCAAGGGCTGCATCCATCTCTATAGCACAAAAGATAGTGATAAGATAGAAATCATATAGCACACACTCACACACACTCACACACACACTCACCCTGAGGTGCCTCAGGTGTTATCAGTTAAATCAGCTAATTAGATTGCTCCCGTCCAGCATCACCCCATCATCCTCTCTGGCCTTAAAACAGTTCTTCTTCAGGGAAGCCCGCTCATTATACCTCACCCAATTAAAATGTCCCGCAGGGGGTCAGAGGTCAGTGGTTAATCAATCAGAGGGAGCGGTGACTGTTGTAGTTATCAGATTGCGCTATCACCCAGGAAGTAGGGAAGATAAGGATACTCTTGTGAGTGCAGAGCAGTGGGGAGTCTGCATCACATCACAGGTCTAGCAAAAGCAGTAACGAAGCATGGGACACAGCGTAGGTATGGTGCAACTACAGTAAATATTTCAGGCTCTACAGATTTGCCAATATTAATTTCTCTGAAAAGATGACACACCAGTGGAGAAAATGTCTGTACCAGTTTAAAGAGACAGAGTGAGAGATAATCAGAGAGTAAGTCCGACAGACAGATGTATGTTACAAAGGAAGCCATTGACTAAAACCACAGTTAACAGAGATCAGATACCGCACAAAAGGAAAAGCAGGGCTCCATCACAAGACCTGAGAGAGCAGTGCATTGGAGACAGACGCCAACATTGACTTGTCTAAGTTAAAAGGCCTACTCTGCTCTGCCACGGTGCACAAAGGGGCTAACCCTTTACCATCTGAGCACTTTTAAGTTAAGGCCTCTTAATGGAGGCTTGTGATAAATGTCAACTTGATGGCGTGACTGCAGGCAAAGTAGGAGGAGAGATAAGTATGAAAAATAGAGCAAAGAAGAAGGACTGTCTCAATTTTCCTTTACCCCCAGTGTAGTATGTTCTTGGGAAAATGCATTCTGCATTATTCACACAGTAACAAACAAATAACAAAATAAATATGTCAATATTTATATTTTATATAAATATGTGTTCCTGTCTTTTCTTGAATGAAAAAGAAAAACATGGGGTCTGGGGTATACAAGCAAAGAAAAGTAATATATTTTTCTTGAGAAAAGAAAAATAATGTTTCGTTGTAGGATCAGCTCAGGATGCAACAGCAGGACTTTAAAAGAGTTATCTACTTTCCTCACCTGTAATCATTTTCCTGACGGGTTTTGATCCCATCTCTGCCACAGTTTAAAGGCACTTGACAAAAATATGACAATGTGTAACATTTCGCACACACATGCTTCCCAAACAGTAGCACCTCCCACAAGGCAGTATCAGTGAATTGTGCCGTCAAAGCACTAAAGGGAATGGTGGATGAAATAAAACTGCTGTGAAAGAGCATGACTGATGCTGTACATGACAGGCAGGCCTCAGAGACAAGCAAGCCTCACCTCAAGTGTCCCCCCACACCCCCCCCCCACACGCACACACACACACACACACACACACACACACACACATCCACAAAAGTCTCCTCGTCCTTCTCCCCAACCCTCTACACTCACACCAGTACGTCATCTCATCAGGATGGATTTCTAATCAGAGAAAATGCCTTACTGGAACTGCACTTTTTTTTGCACACACACACACACAAAATCGTAACACTAACGTCAAATAAAAAACAAAACAAACATACTAATATAACTTAGACTTACATCTAAGAAGTTATCATGTGAACTTAGGAACTGACAGCAGTGTGAGTGATGAGACAGGCAGGAGACAGTGAATGTATAAGCTTATATGGCTTGTCATTTTATCCGATATTTGTCCAACTATCTCACTTCCTAAGGAGATATCACACCCTCAACTGACTACTCTCTTGATGAGACTTCATTATTTATGGCATGTTGCAGTGTTTCGATCGTCTCCCCCTGAGAAAGCAGATACACAAGCACAAAGTGAGGGGAAAGTTGAGAGGGCAGCTGTCTCCATAGGGTAATTAAATCACTGTGTTGTTTTCAATAGCCAATCAAGGCAGTCATGCAGGTAAAGTTTAAATCACTACTATTAGGGGAGTTTCTGTAGCAGGGATAATATGGGGGTCTCAATTTAATGTGCAAACACACACGCGCACACACACACACACACACACACACACACACACACACACACACACACACACACACACATATATATATAAAAATAAAATACACACACACCATTGCCTCAAGCAAAATCCACTGTGAGACATCTGATGCACAGGAGGGGGGATGTCTGCAGCAAGTGAACAAATCCACCATTCCGACACATCTGTCAACTCTACAGTCAACAGAGGGGGGACGTAGAGTCAAACCAGCCACGCAGTTTGACTGTTGACTCACTGCATGGTTCTGATCCAGCTAAGTCCTGAACTTCAGTCAGTCTGACAGAAACCACAAGGGACATCCAGAACGTCCAGTAGCTTCTCGGACTGTACACACCTGCCCTCACCTTTCCCTTTATTTTATCAATGTGCACTTTCCACGATCCTGACTAAAACTGACACGATAGCTTGACTGGTCTGTTCGCTCACAGACTACCCCT